TTTGAAGCTAAAACTTGCAGTTAAACTGGTTCCTGAGTTTATGAAACCTCTAATTGCCCCCAACATCTAGTCATTTGTTTACTTCAGCTCAGACTTAATAATTATATAAACCGTACATAATGCTTAATAAACAGATTTATGGTTGTTTTTCGTTTTGAGAGAGCTGCCAGCATCGAAGCAATTAGCGCAAATTTAAGGCACTTGTCATAGAAGCCAAAAATAGTTCAGTAAGACTCACTCTCCTCCTTGAGACTGACTTCCTCAAATCAAAAAGAAAGTGAAATTCTGCAATAAAGAACTGAAGCTTTATCAAACTTAAGAGCCGGCCATGTGTTTATTTATAGGCCAAACATGATAAGTCCCCGCGGAGATTGAGCCCACGCTCGTGCTCTCATTTGCATGGGCTTCGTGTGGGCACAAAAGGCGAATTATTTATCAAGTCGTCTCAATTTTCCCGATTCCTTCGCATTTTCAGTATTGCAGAATCACGGGGAACACGGCTGTGGTTGTGACTGCCACTGACAATGAAACACGTCGAATAAATACACAAAAACCCCAATAAATGTGAACTCGTGTGCGAACAATATTAGTTCTTGTCCCGAGCGTTTGACATTTGAGCTGCTTTCGAGCTCCGCACTTACGCTCTTTTATTTTGCAATTTTCCTCACTCACCCACTTTTAATAGAAACGAATGAATGATAATAGTAATAAAAATAATAATAATGCTGATGAGCGAACGGCTATCTTCCTCTGAGTGAGACGTAATACCAGTTTCGAGTTCGAGTTCTTTGTGTTTTTATTTTTCCAATAATACATTTTGCATTAGGACAAGGTCTTATCCAGGGGAATGTTGGGTGCAGCTATATCTTAAAATGGAAGAGTTATATTTGTTCTATTTAAAACGCCAGCTGTAAGTTGTTATTAGTTTGAGGAGGGATCTTTCATCTTTTAGCATATGGTAGTTAAGATGATAGTCCTCCTTTTATCATTAGTTAGTTAGTTAAGATTTTAAATTATTTTACACTTTTCTTAAGCCAGAAAAGTTTTATAGAGTTCGAGTTGGAGCTACATATACTATTTATAAGTAAATATACAAACAGCTTGTTAAAATTGTTCTGCAATTGTTTACTCCTTCAAAAGACTCCTCTTTCAAGCCAGAAAAGTTAGACAAAGTTGAAGAACACTTGTTGAATTATCTAAATTAATTATTAAAAAGCCTCTACTTCTCAATCTCTTTTAAATAAATATTTAAAGGCTCTTTCAATGCACCACAAATTATTTACTACCATTTAAAACGCTCCTTTCCCAAGCCAGACATGTTAGCAGCTTAAATTTTCCATTCTCCGCTAACCCATTACTAAGTAAATCCCATAAAGACCATATAATAATAGTCTATACATAATTCATTTCCACTCAATTGTGCCGGAGCAAGGTTGGTTCCTCCCCCCTTGAGAGGCACACACCAAACACACACCATATACACACATTTAAGTGGGTGCAAACCGGAACTTTTACGGCCCCTAAGCTCATCCCTGGCAACAACAGAAAAGTATTTACAGTTTGTCAGAGAAAAGGCGGCGTGGAAAACCCGCAATTTACAGTGGGAGGAGAAAGGAAAGAGGTGTTAAACTATGTATATACATATGTATGTATGTGCGAACCTCTCATCGCTGGAACTATGGAAACCACCACAGTGTTTCCGCAAAACTACACACTTGTGGTCAAAGTTGAACCGCGAATATGTCATCATAATGTCAGACAACTTGGCTTTGGATATATGGAAACAAACTTATCCTAATCTACGCCAGGAGGAGGTTCAAACTAAACATCAACGGGCTTAGTTTGTCAGTGCCAAGGCGATCTACTTCTGGTAATAAAAAATGTGGTCATTGGAATAATGCTATTAGCCATGGATTGTACTAACTTAAATGCCATAACACTTGGCTCTTTATCAGTCACTTTTATAATGCAAATTGAATTGGAATTGTGGAATTTCTCAAGCCACAATTGAGACTGGCTGCGCAGTGTGAGTTAATAAAAATAATTATGTAAATAACGAGTGCATATTTAATTAAGTTTGCCTTCAGGTTGGATATGTCAGCAACCTATCTCGGATTTACAGGGTGTTTCAGTAAGAATATGAATTTTAGGATCGTATAGAAAATCTTTCATAACTAAGCTTTGATCATTACTTATCCATATTTTTATATGACGATTTTTTAGACAAATCATATTTGGAAATATCATAACTATGCCAAAAATGCATTAATTTCAATTCGGAAACCTTTCCTATGCTAGTTTTTAGTAGGGCAATAAAAGAGCATACTCAATTTAAAATTAAAATTTTTGTCGATTTTTGGCAATTATAATGATGTAACCCCTTATCGTTTTTTGCAAAAATCGAGAAAATTAAAAAAAAAATGTTTTCAACCGGGAAAAGTTAGATCTATTCAGCTGCTGATGCTGATCAGGAATATTTATGATATATAGGGTCGGAAATGATTCCTTCACTGCGTTACAAGCTTCAGACTAAAATTATAATACCTTGCAAGAATTAAAATAGACTTTTTATCATACAAAAAAATGCCAAATATTGAGCTACATCCATAAATAATAATATAAGCAATTCTTAGCAAATATATCATATAGTTTTATTTTAACTCACCCTGTAAATCTAACTACAACTACATTGTAATTCAGTCTCAGACCACATCTCAGTGACTTACAATCTCAAGTTTTCCCTTTAATTGTTAATTAACAAAGCGGAACTTTTAATTGAGTACCAACTGTGTGTGTAGTTTTTCAGAGCTTTCCACTCCACTGATAACAGCCAGAGCTATTTTATTTGTGTGTGGGATTTGTTTATAGCCCCCATTAATTACAAAACAAATAAGAGGCGATGAAAAATACATAGCACGGATGTCTCAATATCACGAATAGCTTCGAACAGCTTCGGAGGCTGCTGAATCACGGCTGTCCAACGGAAACCAAATGCTATAAATAAAATCAATATAATGCAATGCAAGACTCTATTGTTTATTAATAATATTCGCGCAGTTTCTTTGTACTTTTACACACGTGTGTCCATGGCATCACACTATTGATTATTATCCGCAGCTTGTATATCGGATAGTAGTTCCCCGAAGCAACCGACTGGGAAATCAGTTTTTTAGACAGGTGAGGTAAAGGTACTTTGATTCTAGGAAAAACTTACAGAAAGCTGGGTCTATGGTTTAGTTTATTTATTATTATGAATTCAGTAGGTATTGTATTTTGCTTTTGTTACCACATTGTTAACTGGAAAGTTGGATCGTATAAATTCCCCGTGGCGACAAGATGTGCCTGTCCATTGGTAATTATTCAATCTTCATGGAAATAAATTCCCCATGAAGAAAACAAAGCCTTGTCAAAAACAAACCATTATTTACTTAGATTTTCCATTAATTTTAATCTATTGCGAGTACTAAATAATACCCTGGGGTGAATTTGGCATAATTTCACAATCCCCCAGCTGGATATGTCTTGTATTTTTTATATACACAATATTTGACCAACGGAAACAAATCAATTGTAATCAATCCAAACAGAGGGGACCAGCTGCCAAGTTTCCCAGCATCTTAAGTTCCATAAAATGTTCCCAAATTGATTTCTTTTGAAAGACAAACAGAAAGCGAGGACCGATGGACCGTTATTAAGAAGCTTATGCGAGACATAAAAAGGAAAAGTTTCCAAGGAAAACCACAATTAAATGTCAGGCAGAGTGGCAGAAGTTTTGCTAATGAGAAAAACGGAAACGAAAAACAAAAATAAACAAACTCAGACTTGGCACCCCCTCCGGGGCGTATACGTAATATGAAAATATTTTGATGTGATAACCTACCTTTTGCTGCGATGCTTGGCACTGATATGCAGCCAACTGATGATCTCCTGCAGCTTCGACTGCCGCTCCTCATCCTCATCCTCATCCTGGTCATTATCCTCATCCCCTGGCAGGTGATAGGGATCGTGGGTATGGTCGGTTATCATAAAGGTGGGCTTGCTATATCCATAAGGCGCAGACATTTCACACTCACTGTTGCACAGTAAACACTACACAAAAAGCACAAGACCCTGGCAATCTCCTTCAGGAAGAGAGAGAGAGAGAGAGGCCTAAGCCAATTTTCAATTTTCACTCGACGACTCCTTGGGGCGAATTAATTAAAATTCCGTCTGTCCCATTTCGCGACCGAGCGATAGATTCTTTTAGCTACTTGGCTTGGCTTTCCCTCTCGCGGCTGCCATAAAACTGCTGGCAGTCGGGTCGCCTCTCCTCCACATGGCCGGTGGCCGCCTCCTCTTCCGGATTTCCCTCTTGGCCAACTTAAAATACCATTTACCTATGGAACGACGAGCGGCAGCGACAGCAGCAGCGGTGAAAATCCCTTGTTGCTTTTCCATTTTGTCTTGTTCTCGTTTTTATTGACCAGCGTTTGTCTTTCCATTCTGGTATATAGCTTTATATCTATATACAACACACGTTCCCAGGCGGATCTACTCTGCTCAGCATTGAACTTGGCGATGGTCAGTCTCAAGTATTATTTATGGCTGTTTATGTTTTGTCTTCCTAGGTGCATGGAAAATATAAGATATAATATACAAGAACATTACGAAATTACTACTACTAGGTTGCACTAAGGTTGTCAGATATTTGCAATAAATTCTATAAATATTTACAGGGATATTAGGAGTATTTAAAGCCTTACAAGCAAAGTTTTTCTGTTAAATTTAATATTCCACTTAAAAATAACTATATTTTCATGTAAATTTTAAACTTTTTTCTCCCACTTTGACCTCAGACAATAAATTCTAAAATTAGTCCATGAAAAACACGACACAACACACTCGACCTTGGTTTGCCCCTCCAAAAAAAAGTTCTCGTTGTGTTCAAAAAGTTTATAAATCGAAAGAAAATGCATATGTTTTTCCTTAGTTCTTGTATATCATATTATATTTATTTATATATATTATTTAGAAAACACACACCAAGAGTCGAATGTAAAAGGTCAAAACCACAACGAAATTGAGGTAAAATAACATAATTTCCTTTAGATATAATTTATAAACATATTATTAGGTGGAATAGAGCATCTCAGTGCCACTCAAAGACAATGTGGGCCACCAGCAGGTAGGCCGTCATCAAGGTGATCTGTCCCAGCATCATGGGGAACACGGTGCGCAGATATCGGGTGAAGGAGAGCTTATAGCCATGTTGCTCCGCTATACCCGCTGCAATTACATTGGCCGATGCTCCATATAGCGTTCCATTGCCTCCCATCGAGGCTCCCAGGGTGACGGCCCAAATGAGGGGCTCGAGTGGCAAGCCCAGCGAAGGCTTTGCCACCAGCGATGTTACCAGCTTCACCATCATAGCCGTCACTGGAATGCTGTCCAAAATGGCTGAGGCCAGGGCCGACATCCAGAGGATCATGAATATAGCCATAGCCAGGCGGTTGCCCAAGCTAACCGAGAGGATCACATGCTCGGTGAGCTCGCCAATGCAGGAAAAGATCCCCAGACGCTCCACGCACTCCATCATCACGAACATGGCGGCGAAGAAGAGCAGCGTGGTCCATTCGATGCGGTGCATCAGGTGCTCCATGTCATCGCGATTTAGGATAATCAACAGCAGGATAACACCCAGCAGGGCCACCCAGCCCAGGGGCAGGGTCCTCCAGTGCGGCACAGACTGGATGAAGAAGCAAACGATGACAAAGATCAGGGCTCCGGCGGACTGAAAGAGCAGCGTCTTGTTTTTGATGGGATACTGAAGTGGGATAAATGGGATATTTTTGCTCATAATTCTCAGAAATTACTGCTACCTTCTGCTTCAGCTCATCCAGTGTATGGGTATAGACCTCAGAGGATCCCACACCCTTCTGCAAACGCCGGAGATTCCTCTTTAATGCCTTGACTTTACCCTGAAGCGTTCCTCGTACCAACTGGGCATCCTTGGAGCAGGAAGCCACGGCATTGAGAGCCCGTTGCCACACCTTGATCTCCCGCCTCAGTTCACTCATCTCCTTGGGTTCATTTAGGCGCAAGGCATCAATGTTGTGATAGAAGAGGCGCAGATAGACACAGCTCTGGACAACGGCCAAGAGGACGCCCGGAAAGGTGTGGGCCACGAAGGTCAAGAAGGTGACATCCTGGTAATGGTAAAAACATTATAAACAACTTCTATACGAGCTGTTACGTTCACTTACACTCTCCACTATAAAATGATTAGTGCTGACTATAATGCTAATGGGATCCCCAATGGGGGTCAGAGCTCCTCCGATATTGGCATGCACTATAATACCCATAACCACGGGCAGCGGATCCAGTTGCATTACCTCGCACAGCCTGATAGCCACAGGGGTGAGCAGGAGCACAGTGGTCATGTTATCAAGCACACTGGACACCAGGCAGGTGACCAAGCAGAGGCTATATATCATGGGCCAAATCTTGCCGCCGGAGATCTCGAAGCAAAACACGGCCAGGTAATCGAAGACCCCAGTCTCGGTCAGTATCAGAATAATGAGCATCATGCAGAAGAGCAGGGTAAGCAGCTCCATGTCCATCCACTGGATAATCTCATCCATATTGGGACGATCTGTAGGGAAATGATAAATATGATGTAGAGTAATACAAGAGGAGTAATTAAGGATAATTCTCACCATTAAAGCAGGCTAGAGCCGTCACTGAGAGAATGGAGCAGATCATGGCCACAAAGGGTCTCTCGAAGAGCTCCCATACCAGCAGGGCATAGAATATCAGCAGGATCAGGCCAGCTAGGATGCTGCCCGTTCTGGCATTCACTATCAAAGGATTATAGTTGAGGACTATGGCCAGATCTGTTTCCACATCACTGTAGATATGCAAACGGAATTCGCTGTTCTTCTCGGATAGTTTTTCACTCAGCTCCTCGGTCATTAGGTAGGTGCGATTACTGGCCACCGCCGGAGCACGTTCCAGTTCCTCCTCGGAGAGCAGAGGCAGGCGCCAAGCTGGAAGAATGTCCTATGGAATACACATGGAAATATATTTCTTTGAAATTGTAATCTGAGGCCTGTTAGGTAATACCCACCTGAAATACCTTGCTGCGATTCTCGCCCAGGTAAGCGGACACCTGCGGCTGCACCGTCAGAAATCCGAAACTCTCGGTCTCATTTTCAGCTGCATTGCGCGTGGAAAGTTCCCTGAAAGCCCCATGGATTTTCAAACGAAAATCGCCAGTTGGTTTTTGCAGCAGCTTGAAAACTTTATATAAATGTATTAGAAAATATATTAAATAAAATATTTGTAAGAAGAAAACTCACACTTTCCCTGCTCGCCCTGCGGCACATCTATGGTTTTCTCCAGCAGATGCTTCTCTCCCACAGAGATGAGCACCACGGCGGCCAGCAGCCAGAAGATGAGCAGGCCACCTCGCTTCCAGAGCTTGTCCCGTTGACGCTGCTCTTTGGAACGCTTCGATTTGTGATGCAGTCGTCTGGCCTGGGTTTTGGCATTACCAGGACCATTGGCTGGCTCGTGGTCGGAATGGGTGGTGGCCTCGTCATCGGTGGCATTTTCGTCACCCGGCCGATGCTTAATATCCAAGAAATCAGAGCCAGCATAACTGGAACCCGGTTCGTCCTGCAGGCGACCATTGTTCCTCTTGTCCACCTCATTATAGCCATCGTAGTCCTCCTCCTCCTCATCGTCATCGTCACTGCCGCCAGCGGAGGAACCTATAAGAGGATTATTGGAAATTTAAATAATTAATTAGCAAGTGCTCAGCTACGTGGCCTCGAGTGTCTAACAATATATTGATTTGCCTGTCATGGATTTTCTATTGTACATACATGTACACCAAGGGAAAAGCAATCAAAAGTAAAAATTAGACACTTGAAATATGGAAAAACAGAGAAAACAATGAACTGTTTACTCGAATTTGATCAAGGAAAATTGTCTAAGATAACAATTGTGACAAGATAACAAGGAATTATGCATACTCTTAAGACCTATATTATAGTTATTTATATTCTAAACTTTTTGTAATGTAATAATTTCCCTTATATTATATATATTTTTTTTTTAATTTTCCCCCTTTTAAGACTCACCATGAATCCTCTCATTCTCCATTTGAAAACTAGCCATGCTGGGATCATGTCGTATTTCGGCGGGCAAAGCACGCCACACTTGAAGGGATTGCTCGGTGACCTGGACAGCGGCCACCTGGTTGTGCTGGCATCCTGTCTTTGGACTACGATGTCGCATCTCAATGCTGCACTTATCCCGACCGGGGCTATCCGGCCGTAAACGGAACGTATCCCGCAAACCCATGGCCCGGAAAAATCAGCGAGTTGCGAAATGCGAAAATCTAGAAGCGGGCAGAGGAGGAGCTGCTGCCAGAGAGTGAGCGTGGGAGATTCTCCAGAATGTATTTATTTTCACGGGAAAATGCGAGGCAGAGAAGCAGCAGCAGCAGCAGTGTACATCTTTGCCGCACACGAGGCACGAGGCGACTGAACGGCATCGGAATCTTAACGCCGAGTCCGAGGCGAAGCAGCTGCGGGGTTTCGACTTCCATTCAGCCGCCGTCGCTGCTTTCAATATTGAAAGTGAAACCATTGTCGCCGTTTTCCAGGATGGCGCAGGCGCCAAATAATCGCTTTTGGGGATTCCCTTGTTTTGCTCGCCGCATTCGGTGCCCCACAAAACAAAACATATACAATGCCGGGCGTGGTGCCGCAGTGGTTTTGTTGCCATCAACAAGTTTTTCCTCAGACACTGTCACGCCATGTTATTATTTATTTAAATGTATTTACTCGACCCATTCATTGCTGTCTTGGATGGGATGCGATGCAGAACAATGGCACATATAGTGAGGAAGGTGTCATTACGACTTTACAACTTTGAAGTGAGCCGCGAGTTTTTCGAGAGTCTAAAATATGCAAAGCACTATTTTTAATTTATACCTGCTAAAAATAAACTTGTGCTATTTATTGTTAAACAAATACTTGTAAAAGAATCTCGAAAAACTAAGATGTATTGCATACTTTGCGGTACAGGCCAAATTATAAATGATTTACTTATTTGAACAGTGCTTTTAAATGCAAGAACTTTCTATTTATCAGAACATATTTTATATAAACAAAAAATTAAAGAACTCAACTTTTGTTATATCCAGTCTTTCTACCTTTAACAGCGAAGTAGTACCCGTTGGCGTTTTCTCCTTGACTGAATGAGGTTGATTTCTTTAATATTACAACTATAATCTTCCTTTCATTTAGCGCAAGCGCAGGAATTTATTTTGTATTTCAATGTTTTGCTCACCTCGTTCTCTGATTCACGAAGGTTTATGAGCAATCGGTCAACAAGTTTGCATTTCTCGCTTCCATTCCCTCCAGTTGTCAACACTTTGCTGGATTATTATTTATTGAAGTGCCACCCCGCATTGCTCATACGACATGTGGTCCCGCCATGCACACACACACTCGCATTGCTAACCCCAACGATAGCTCACTTCCAGCCAAAGATTGAAGGCACATTTGGACAAGTTTAATGACCAATTGTCGAGGGGATTGCACTGACCTCATACTGCCATGAAATAAAGCCATATTGGCTAGCGACGAGGAGAACAGGACAGTGGCAAGGGAATAAAAGGAAGGGTATATAGGGTATCCAAAATGTGATGACTTTATTATTACGTCCTTCGTAAAATCAATTTATAGGATTTACTAAATATCCACTTGATTCACATCTTAAAGAGTAAGAATAAAAACCTTTTACAAAATAATGAAGGTTATGCCAAACAGGTAATATAGAGCATTAGCATTTGCACCTCTGTTATGACTAAAGACGCCTCATCAGAGTCAGCCCTCTGTAATTTGCTTGTAATTTATCAAAATCTAGATTATTATCCAAACTGATGGATTATGTTGTGTGTCGATTAGTACCCAATTGCCAGGAACCTCCCCAAAACCACAACCCACAAAAGTTCGTCCTTCGGCTAGGTGGCTTGCACATTGGCTAAACAATGAACAGATGTTAACGGTTTGCCTCTTTGCTGGTTGTTGTTAACTTGTTAGTACAAATACTATACACAGTGTGCCAATTCACAAGCACAACAAAACTGTAATGGACGCAGCACTAGCGAGCAAAGCAAATAACAAGTTACTGTTGACATACAGGACATTCCCGAGTGGACCTTAGATTCTATTTATTGAGAGAAATATTTATTTAATAGAAGAAATATTGCAAGAATGTAGATCCTGAAAGCTGAAAATAGTGCAAATTTATGGAAAATAATATATAAATTAATATTTTACTTTTAAATGTGGACACAGAAAAATCTGGCACATTTAAAAACTTTAAAAAAATATAAAAGTTATCTTTAAACCCTTACGGGAAAATATGATCAGTAAGTAATTATAAGCAATAAGTAACTATAAACACTAAGTATCTATGACCAGTAAATAACTCTGAAAAGTAAGTATCTATGAGCAGTAAGTAAGTTTAGTCAGGAAATATCTATGACCAGTAATTAACTATGAGCAGTGAGTACCTCTGAACAGTAAGTATATATGAGCAATAAGTAACTATGATCAGTAAAAATCTATGACCAGTAAGTATGTATGATCAGTTACTAACTTGGAACACTAATAAACAATGACTTGCAACTTTTGTAACACTACACATTTCCGATACGTGGCCGGCAGCAGTCACTTCGTTCCGGGGATGTTTGAACTAGTTGGGAATCATATGATATGATGATATGATAACTATGAACGTTAAGTATCTATGGCCAGTATGTAACTCTGAACACTAAGTATCTATGACAAGTAAGTAACTCTGAACAGTAAGTATCTATGAGCAATAAGTAACTATAGTCAGTAAATATCTATGACCAGTAATTAACTATGAGCAGTACGTAACTCTGAACACCAAGTATCTATGAGCAATATGTAACTATGATCAGTAAGAATCAATGACCAGTAAGTATGTATGATCAGTTACTAACTTGGAACAATAATAAACAATGACTTGCAACTTTTGTAACACAACACATATCTGAGACTTGGCCGACAGAAGTCACTTCGTACCGGGGATGTTAGAACCAGTTGGGAATCATATGATATGATAACTATGAACAGTAAGTATCTATGACCAGTAAGTAACTCTGAACACTAAGTATCTATGACCATTAAGTAACTCTGAACAATAAGTATCTATGAGCAGTAAGTAACTATAATCAGGAAATATCTATGACCAGTAGTTAACAATGAGTAGTAAGTAACTATGAACAATAAGTAGCTATTAGCAATAAGTAACTATGATCAGTAAGAATCTATGACCAGTAAGTATGTATTATCAGTTACTAACTTGGAACACTAATAAACAATGACTTGCAACTTTTGTAACACTACACATTTCTGAGACTTGGCCAGCAGAAGGCACTTCGTTCCGGGGATGTTTGAACCAGTTGGGAATCATATGATATGATGATATGATAACTATGAGCAGTACGTAACTTTAAACACTAAGTATCTATGACCAGTAATTAACTCCGAACGGCAAGTATCTATGAGCAGTAAATAACTATAATCAGTAAATATTTATGAGCAGTAAGTAACTCTGAACACTAAGTATCTATGAGCAATAAGGAACCAATAAATATATATGATCAGCTACTAACTTTGAACACTTGTAAACAATGACTTGCAAATTTTAGAACACAACACATATCTGAGACTTGGCCGGAAGAAGTCACTTCGTTCCGGGGATTTTTGAACTAGTTGGGAATCATATGCACAGATGTGCGAGATTTGTTTTAGAACAAATTTAAGCTATTTCAATGAATCTATTATTATTATTATTCTATATAATTTTACTAGTATATAAGTCGGAGCATCGCGAATCGGTGGACTATATACATATATATGGCTGGCATAGGAACAATCCGAAAATTTTAAGAAAAAATATTATATCTTTTCCAGTTTTCAACAGATTTTCATGAAATTTGATATATAGCCATTATATATTAATCTAGAATTTTGTGTAAAATTGTGAAAATCGGACTACTATATCATATAGCTGCTAAACAAACGGTCGTTAAAAATAGAGAAAAATGGAAAACGGCTTTTATAAATTAAACCACTCAGCTCACTTCTCTGATAAAATACTATAGTGACACCCTAATGGGCACACACGTGCTGACATAAAAAGGGAACGCCGCTGCCACCCACTCCCAGGTACCCCCAAAAAGAGTCGGGGGTGGTTTTGGCTTGGCCCTATTTTATGGGTTAGCGCGCAAAAAAATAATATTCCTTGTTGTGTTTTCCCTCATAAGTGGACATGACGGCCCAAACGAAAGCTCATTCAGCGCTGGACAGGCAAGCTGGCAAGGTGCGAGGCGGAAAATGTCATCGACGATTGTGCGGGAAACGACCTTCGTGCAGCACTTCGGAGGACAGTCAACTTGATTGGACAGACGATGGGTTGCGGCTCGTCTATGGAGACGCAGACGAATCCTGTCGTCACGGAGGTCAGCTCGGGAATGCAATCGCGGCACACTGCCGCCGGAGTGACGGTAATTGTGACCACTAACACTGCCACCCCCCCTAGCCTAATCAATACCACACATTATCACCACAGAACATTGTCGAGCAATATGTGCGACTGGACGAGCAGATTGGCAAGCTGGAGGGCACCTGTCCTGGTCCGCGGATGGCCACCGCCGAGGCCTGGGTGGAGCACCTGAAGAGCAAGCACGAGGCAATGCTAGGCCTCGATGGCATGGACGTGGCTCCGCTGCGGGAGAGGGAACGAGGCAGGGATTTCGAGCAGGAGGAGGTTTACACAATGGGCGGCCGGCAGGGCAATCAAATTGTGGCCAACACGCCCACCAAGGACCTGGCCCAGGCAAGTGACGACCTGCCATTAACGCATGTGATGAAATTTGTCCTGGTATATTATTAACTTCCGTTTCCGTTTCCCCATTAGCTTGCCTACAACCTGGGCGTAATTGGCGATGCCCGCAAGGCTTCCATGCACGAGGACTTCTTTGCCAACCTGAGCGAGTCCGCTTTGTATTTGCTCAGCATACGATACTACGGTGAACTGCTGGAACACACCAAGGAGCGCCTGAAGACGCTAGTCGAGAGCTATGCGGAGTTAACTGAGCTGTATGTGAAACAGGACGGTATTATAGCCTACATTAGTGGTGGGACCTATATGACCCGGCTGGAGGAGAGCATAGACGAGCAATTGGAGACGGCAAGGGATACGAGGGATAAGCTGGGCAGTGCCCTGGAGCAGTGGCGCATCTGTGGGTTACTGCTTAGAGCTGCTGCCAATTCCTCGACGCAGGCACTGAAACAGTGGCGGCAGCTGGCCAGGATGATGTAAGTGTCTTGATTGACGGAAGCTAGGTAGTAGCACTTGCTGATGTCGATTCCGTTTTCAGAGATCCCAAGCAAAAGTTACAGTGGGCCTTGGACTGCCGCAGCCTCCTCCATGCCTCCATGATCTCTCTCGAAGCGGCTCAACTGTCTCTGCCGCATGTAGAACTGAAGTATTTGAGTCATCGTCAAGTTCTGGCTGTCAAGCACTGCAATACCTACTTAATCACTGACATAGCCAACAAGGCGCGGTAAGTCATCTCATAAAAATCCTCGCCAAAATATTGTTAAGTAGGATAAATTCCTTTCAGGTATGAGCACACCACCCGCGTGTTTACTAGCTACGAAGCTAATATGTCCAAGACCTGCACTTGGCTGTACGAAACCTTCAACAATACTCTACGCTCTGACTTTGACAAGGCGGAGGCCACAGTGAGCGGGCTGGCCAAGACGCTGCGAGACCATCGCGAGGAAATCTTCGCCACAGTGCGCAAATGACATGAAATTTGCTCAAGATATTATTTTTTGTACATTACTTTAATAAAGATTAGGCATAGGTTTAATACCAGTAGCTCTTGGCTGGTGTGCGCTCCTCCTTGATGCCCATTTCCTCCATAATGTCCATCTCGAAGGTGGCCAGCTTCGGCTGGAAGGTGATCTCGCCCACCACAGCAGCTGTAAAAGAACAGAAACTTTTAGATAGCAATAAGGTAACGAATTACAACTTCAGCCCACCTGGCGTATCCTTCTCCCTTTCTATATAAGCATTCGGAGTTTTGTAGTCGTGCGTCTGGTTATTGGTCTCCGGAATGGGTATGATTCGACCAGATCGCATGGACACACGCACCTTCTCACCCTCCTCCGTGAAGCGCCACTCAAAGTCTGTACCCTGCAGATCTGAGGGATCCACCAAGCGTATGTCTTTGGTGACATGCAGCGGCGCCTCCGACTTGATAATAATGCCGGGGAACTCCTTCTCACCGCCCACTTTGCGGTAGTGCCAGTTAAGGCCCTCAACAATGACCCAGTTGCGCTCGGGGATCACCTGGGTGACGAGTCCCTGCTTACCCTTGTCCTTGCCAACCAAAACCTCGATGCGATCACCGCGGAAGAAGCTCCATTCCTCTGCAAAAGTATTAAATGGATATCCGTTAGGTTTGAGCATGAAAAGGCATCGAAGAACTCACCAATTGGTTCAACAAACACCTTGCGGCGCACTGTGCCGGGCAGGTTCTGTTGCCGGAACTGTCCGGTCCATGAGCGGTTCGTTGTGTAACGGAAACGCTTGCGCTCCACTGTACGTTGCAGGTAATTGATTTCCTTCGGTGTTTGCCAGAACACCTGTTTTTAATTTAGACAGTAATGGGTTTTATTATTAACAATATTGTTTTCGTGCTAAGTGTTACGTGAGCTGTTTCCCGGGAGGCTACAGCGAATAGGACTTTTTAGCTTACCTGCTTCTTGCTGCGCTCGATGTACTCCTTAGGCAGGTTGGAGAAGTTCTTTAATTTGCTGCCCAAAAATTGTGTTATGCGCATTTTTAACAATTAATTCAACAATTAACTAAATAACTAGGAAAATAGGAAATAAATGCGGCTTGCAAACAGCTGTTTTGGCTGGAAGATGAGAGACATTAGCAACGAAACGTAGACATTCGGGTTATGACTGTTTATGCGGAATATTTTACTAATATAAGAATTATTCAATTAACGGAATATTTAATACAAATAATTAAATAAAATGGAAGACTAATAAATTTAAAGATATTCTAATTAAAAACTCATTTTGATTCACGAAATTACAAACAACAAAGTTCTGTTACGTGTGAACGCCTTTCCCTGTGACTGACAAACCAAGAAGAAGTCAAGAAGAAGCAGCTGTTATTTGCGTTGCTGTTCTTGTAGTTTTTTATCGTTCGTCGCAGCCGTAAATTGCGATGCAAACCGGCTTATTATAAACAAAAGGTAAATGCTTGACTACTTAAGTGTGGGCACGTGCGGGCGCACTTCCATTGGAAGCCGCACTGCCGTACCGCAAGCATCTGCGCCGAGAAGAGGCCTGGTCAACTGCAGCAGCGCTTAGTCATATATCCACATCGTCGCATACACTCGCCCACACACACACACAATCACACTGATAACGCAGTTCCGTTCCGGCCAGAATAACATCTTCGATATGTCCTATCACATAGATATGGAAGACCACGCCGAGCCGGAGCCCGTCCTGCTCTCGAAGCACGCCAAGAACCTGCTGCGCTTCCTCAATCTGTTGCCGGCACGGATGGCCTCGCATGATAACACCAGGTGAGTGGGAGGAAGCCTGGGAGGGTCCTTGAACAATTGGAATTTATTTAATTTGACCTTTCAGGAGCACCATTGTCTTTTTTGCTGTGTGCGGTCTGGACGTCCTCAATTCCCTACATTTGGTGCCCCCACAGCAGCGGCAGGACATCATCGATTGGATCTACGGCGGATTGGTGGTGCCTCGCGACAACGAAAAAAACTGCGGTGGCTTCATGGTGAGCATATATTCGCGTCAGTCGTCTGTCAGGTGAACAAACTGCCAGCAGTTGGCAAGTTAAACAGAGAATCGCTTGGCAAACATCCCACCCATTCCTCCGATTCCGATTCCCATTCCTTATCTGTACGTGGGCCAGCAGCAGACACTGCGGCAGACCTTGTCGGTTACTTCGGAATATTAATTGTTTATCCAGCGTATCATGATTTGTTTTCCTCTGGAATATGATCCATGAGGCTTATATACTCATGGGAAGTTGTTAATTTGCATCCTGCAATGACAATTAACAAAGTAGCTCAAAAACAGTTCATAAATACAAGAACTAAAACTATATCTCTATTACATACTCACCTGTAGGAAGGTCTTCGGCCCTATTTAATAATTTTTTATTTAATTAAAAGCCAAAAAATGTAATAAATAATACAAGTTTGGCTAACTCTGTGGTTAACTGGGTAGTACAGCTCATGCCCAGATATAAATCCCACTTTAATTGACTTAAAATTAGCATATATGTGTATCTAAGACAGCTCATTGTTATTCCAGTATATACTCTTTATTTATTAAACCCAACTTTCCGAGAACCTTAAATGTAATTCCCTAGCATTGCAACTTGAATTGACCTTGCTTTTGTTATTATTCCTGCCTCCGCTGTGCAAATATGCATACATAATTGCAGGGGAAATAGTTCTCTCCTCAGTTGCGCAGCAACCAGTTCCCCATCCCACCCGGCGCCACCTTGGTTTCGTCACGCCACGCTTTATCAATGACGAGAACAACATACAAAACCTTTTAAAGATTGATTAACTAATGGGGCTTCCGCTTTATCTTCGCAGGGCTGCCGCGCCATGGTGCCGAAAACGGAGGACGCCGCGCTCTTGGAGTGCATGCGGAAGTACCAATGGGGCCACTTGGCAATGACATACACCAGCATTGCCGTCCTAGTGACCCTGGGGGACGATCTGTCCCGGCTAGATCGCCGAAGCATTGTGGATGGAGTGGCTGCTGTTCAGAAGGCGGAAGGCAGCTTCGGTGCATGCATCGATGGTAGCGAGGATGATATGCGATTTGTTTACTGTGCCGCCGCCATCTGCCACATGCTAGACTACTGGGGCGATGTGGACAAGGAGGCCATGTACCAATTTATTATGCGGAGCCTGCGCTACGATTATGGTTTCAGCCAGGAACTAGAAGGCGAGGCCCACGGCGGAACCACATTCTGCGCATTGGCCGCCTTGCATCTCAGTGGACAGCTAAAACGGCTGGACGCGGATACGGTGGAACGGATGAAGCGTTGGCTCATCTTCCGGCAGATGGATGGATTCCAGGGGCGTCCCAATAAGCCAGTGGATACTTGTTACTCCTTTTGGATAGGCGCTTCGTTGTGCATTCTGGATGGCTTCGAGCTGACTGACTACGCCAAGAATCGAGAGTATATACTGAGCACGCAGGACAAGCTTATTGGGGGCTTTGCCAAGTGGCCACAGGCCACTCCTGATCCGTTTCACACGTACCTGGGCCTCTGTGGCCTTGCCTTCACCGGTGAACCGGGCCTGAGTGCCGTGAATCCTAGTTTGAACATGTCCATGGCTGCCTGCGTTCACCTGAAGCACCTGCACGAGCAGTGGCGATCGAGAAATGGGCGTGGCGACGAGGATATTGGTTTGAGCTCTGCCGCCCAGCAGCAACTGAAGCTGGCGAAGGAGGGCGAGGCGATGACAGCAGCAACTACCTCTACATCGCCATTGATTCAGGCACAATAAGGAGGAAGGCGTTAAAGCACACACACTATTGTATTTATATTGGCCAGGTTTTAGCCCCGTTTTAGCCACGCTTTTTTACCTGTATTTTGTATTGCGAGAAGCTCTAGCTTCTGGAGGGAGTAAATACGTTTATTGTACAGCCTAAATTAATGTTAACAACGAGTGTAAGATTAAGCTTAAAGTTAAATTAAAGCGTCCCATGCTGAGGCATGTATTTACAGCAAGCCTCGAAAGCCGTTTTGGTCCATCTCCAAGTTAATCTCTCTTTGTAAGTTATACCTGCAGGAACAGGCGGTGGTGTTGCATGGCCGGCAGGTTGTAGCCCATGCCTGGCCGATCGATGTGCACCCGTCCACGAAGCGGGGCCAGGACCCGTTCCGTGACCAGCGGACAGCGCTGCACCATCAGCGACTGCAGCAGGGGGCAGCTTTGGGTGAGGGCGCTGCGGGCGATAGGGGAGAACGAACGGAGAAGAGCTAGTAAACAAGGAAATCGCTTGGATAGAAGTCGTTCAGATAGTGGGCATTGTGTCGTTCCGCCTCTTCCCGCCGATCGATGTACAGACACCGCTGCCGGAGTGGCGCCAATGAGCGTTCCGTAATCCGCGGGCAGCTACGTATGAGCAGAGTCCGTAACCGTGGACACTGCATGGCCAGAGCGCTGAAAAATACCCAGATGCAGATGCAGGATTGTCCAGGATTGACCCAAGGAACACCACACAGACACACACGAACAGAACTACAGCGAGAAGAGATTGCAAGGACAACAAAAAGACTACTTACTGCACTCCATAGTCGGAGACGGCTGCACAGCCGATCAGGTTGATGTGCTCCAGCTCCCGGCAGTAGTTTCCGATCTGGATTAGCACCTGGTCGGTAACACTGGGTGTATTGGCCAGCGACAGGACGGTGAGCTTGTTTAGCCTCCGGAAGAAAATTATCAGGCAGCGCTCGCCAATGGCGCCGCAGTGCGATATGTCAAACTCCACCAGCTTGCTCTGGTGCAACGTCAGGGCGTCCACGGCCCCGGTGGTCAGCCACTGGCACTTGGACAGCTTCAGCACACGCAACTCTTTACACTCCACGATGATGGGCTGCAGTGACAGGGCCGTGATGTTGACGCACTCGTTCAAGTTGACGGCCGACAGGCGCTTCTTGTTGTTGGCCAGCAGTGGGAGCAGCAGCTCGTCCGTCAGCCAGCGGCAGCGGGCCAGGTGGAGAACCTCTAGACGTTGGCAACAACGAGCCAGCACTCGAAATCCCTCCTCAATATTGCTTGTATTGTTCCCGGACAGATGGAGCTCCTGGCGTTTCTCCAAGGCCGCCTCCACAAATCGATGGGCGGTACGAGAGCAGCAGCGCAGGTTGAAGAGATCCTTGAGCGACAGATAGACGGCCACCTGCGGGATGAGCACGTCATCCCAGCAGACGTCGAACAGCGAAAGAGGTGTCCTTGGGGAATCCGTGGTACTCAAGGCCGTACTGGCCATGGCCACTAGGTGCGCCTCCTCCTCGGAATTTAGGGTGCACATCAGTGCGCCCGCCGCCTTTTCCGCTTGCAAACTTGAATTTCCCACAGCAAAGGTGCGTATTTTCGTCTCCACAGCCGCTGGGCACACTAACGCGCTGGAGACAGCTTTTTCAGTTACTTTTCAAATAATCGTTTTATTTAATGAAATTAGTAGGAGATGCCAGTGTGGTCGCGAATCCAGTCCAAGTGGTAGGTGACGCGCTGGAAGCCAGCAGGAGCTCCCGACTGGCAGCCGTTGCTGGAGACAAAGTTGCTGACGCCGACCAACTTGTTGCCGTCGTGTGTGACCAGGGGACCACCGGAGTCGCCTCCGCAGATGGACTTGCCGTCGACGGTGCGGGTGCAGATGGTGTTGTCGCCAACACTGCCGTAGGTCCAGTTGCACTCGTCGTTGTGGACGATCTGCAGGTCGACGCACTGCAGCCAGTCGGGCAGCGGGCTGCCGTCGTAGGTGCCGCCCCATCCGCAGGCCACGGCCCACCACTCGTTGTAGTTGTTGTAGCGGTCGTTGTAGCTGGGCAGCTCCACCTTGTTGACCATGTGCCAGAAGTCCACGTGGGGGATGCGGATCAGGGCAATGTCGGCGTTGGAGTGCTTGATGAAGTTGCCGTTGCCCACGGTGTGCGTGAACTGGGCGTTGGTGCGCCAGGTGGCTCCAAAGTAGACGGTCACGGAGCCGGCGTCTCCGATGCAGTGCTCGGCGGTCAGGACCCAGGTGTTTCCGATGATGGAGCCACCGCACCACCAGCCTCCGCTGAAGCCGAGACCGACGGTGTAGGGAGCTTTGCCCTCGGAGGCGGGGTATCCGTTCGTGATACGACCCTCGATCTTCAGGGTCTTGGGCAGGTCCTTCACGAAGACCTTCTCGTCGAAGGCGGCGGCCGAGGCCACGGCCAGAGCCAGGATAGTTAGGAACACCTTCATGCTGATGTTGATACTGGAGTATGCTACCCAGGGAGCAGTCTTTTATATTCCCTCCATGAGCATGGTTCCCACTATCCGTATCTGGAACGGGAATAAGTTCGTAAATATTCATCGAGACTCCCATAAATCCCGTAAACGATGACAGCGATAAAGGAAACACTTGACCAAGCTTTCGTCGGCGGAAGAAACTGACTAAAGCCCAAGCAGATAGGCTTTCGGTGTGTTCTGAATTAATTTCAAAGAATGTTATAAATATTTTAACTTGGCTTGGAAGAAAACTTAGGATGAAAAGGAAAATGATTTTATTCAATCATTGTTTACCGGATATGTAAAACAAAATGTTTTGGGTTTTTCTCAGCCTATTTTGAATAGTCTTATCAATATTTATGGCGTGTATGTCCGTTCTTGATGGGGCTTAGACCTTTTTATCTAATCATACCTTTAATTTTTTAAACAATTTACAACAATCATTCATGTCGATAATGATTTTTCAACTTAGTGGTTTGATTTTTAATCAGTAACTTGTAAAAAGCCATTTTCGAATATTGCTTATAATTAGAAAGATTTTACAAATGCATAAAGTATCATTTGTTTATAATTAAGGTACTTCATTAAGTACTTGTTTTTGTTTAATAAGCTTTACAAATGGCACACAAATGTACTTAAAAAGTGCATGATTTTGATTGGCAAGTACGTGCCTCGAGTAATATATTAAGAAATATATTTTCTTTTCATTTGCCCTATCCGATTCTATAAAGGTAAACTAGCTGTTGCCAAGCTAGACAATTAAGTCCTCTCCATAGTTCTTTCTAATGGGATATCAATATATATATGTATATAAATAACACCATAAATAACAAAAGTTGTTTAGAAAAACAAAATAAATAAGCTTCGGTAGATTGATGATAACACTCCTTCGCAGTTTTACAAGCTTCTGACTAAACTTAGAATTATATTCTTTGAGTCGATATTCATCTATATTTCATGTGACAATTTTGTTAATAAATCAAATTTTAAAAATCTCATAACTAAGCCAAATATGCATTAATTTCTCTTCGGAAAACTTTCCCATGCTAGTTTTTATTACGTCAATAAAACTGCATACTCAATTTAAAATGTTAAAAAATGAAAAATGTTGACGATTTTTGACAATTTTATTGACGTAACCCCTTATCGTTTTTGGACAAAATTTCAAATAAAATTTCAAAATTTGTATTTCAACCGTACATAGTTAGATTGATTCAGTTGTTGATGCTGATCAAGAATATATATGATATATCTGGTCGGAAACGACTCCTTCAAACTGCAACGGTTTAGTAATGTAACAAAAGTTGGCGCCATATATTCGTGAATAAGTTATAATTAAGTTCGCCTGTTTACGTTGAGTAATAAGGGAATTAACCAGAAAATGCATAGCTAGCACAGCTGATTATAAACCAGGCCTAATCCCTCCTATAGTATCTATATGTATATTATTTAATTGTAATGGTTCAGACTTACCGCAGTAGAGGACATTATTCTTAGGGTATCATCGCAGTAAGCTTCTTCCTGGTTATCCAGATTACTACATTGGTTAAGTGATATATTTGGGGTCAAAAGGTAATCACTATCACTTTCACTATAGATGTTAACAGCGGCCTCGCCACGAACAGACTGAGGTCAGCGAGAGGCTACGTCCTCTATTTATAGTGTCCGAGCAAAGAGAATAGAGAAAGTGAGAGCGAGAGAGAAAGAGGTATCTAGAGAAAGTAAAAAAGTGAGAGTGGGGAAGAGCGAGAGGGATAGTTGGATATAGAGAAATCAAGCGTAGTAGAGCATAAGAGAGGCAGGGAGAGTGAAATTAATATATATATATTTATAAAAAAATCTATTAAAATATATATTTTGATATAATTGATTATATTTTAATTAAATTTAATAAGCAAAAACCCAAATCTTATCAAAGCACTTAACCGGCGTCAAAGGTAAACAAATCCCTTAGGTCCAATCTATAGCAACCGATATAGATTATTTCCTAGAATAATTCCAGATACGCCGAGGTTTATATATATTCAAAACATTAACCCTCTGATGAACTCTTTCTAGTGGAAATAGTTCCATAACTTTAAACTTTAAAAGAACATTAGAACAACATCCGAATATAAGCAAATAGATTTATTTCAAAAACGAAATGATTTTAGTAGGAGATGCCGGTGTGGTCGCGAATCCAGTCCAGGTAGCTGGTGACGCGGGTGAAGCCGTCGGGCAGGCCCGAGGTGCAACCGCTGGAGGCCACAAAGGAGGTGACACCGACCAGCTTGCCGCCGTCGTGGAGGACCAGGGGACCGCCAGAGTCGCCAGAGCAGGTGGACTTGCCATCGGGAGTGGAGGTGCAGAGGACGTTGTCGTTGACCACATCGGATCCGTAGACGCCGGCGCAGGCATCGCGGCTGATGATCTGAGAGTCGACGCAGTTCAGATAGTCAGAGACGCCGCAGTTGTCGCAGGGCCTGCCCCATCCGGAGGCCAGAGCCCACCAGCCGTCGTAGGAGTTGTAGCGGTCGTTGGAGCTGGGCAGATCCACCTTGTTGACCAAGTGCCAGAAGTCCACGTGGGGGGTGTTGATCAGAGAGATGTCGTTGTTCAGGTTGTTCGTGTTGTAGTGAGCGTGCTGGCGGAAGCTGCCGCTGCCGACGGTGTGGGTGTACTGGGCCTGCAGGCGCCACAGGGCACCGTAGTAGATGGTCACAGACTCAGCGCCGTGGGTGCAATGAGCAGCGGTCACCACCCAGGTGTTGCCGATGATGGAGCCACCGCACCACCAACCGCCACCAGAGCTGCTGAAGCCTAGACCGACGATGTAGGGCACCTTACCCTCATAGGCTGGGTAGCCGTTGGTGATGCGACCCTCGATCGAGCCGGATCCGGTGCCCTGGACGGCATCCTTCAGGGGCTGGGGCTTCACCTTCTGGGGCAGAGCGGTGGCGCAGGCAACGGCCACGGCCAGGACAGTAAGGAACAGCTTCATGTTGATACTTGGTTTGCGAGCTCAACTGGACATTTCCATCCCGGGCGTTGATTTATATACCTCCGGTTGTGTGGCATATCGGAGATCTTCCTTGATACTCGAAAGTTCAATCCACTTGCCGGCAGGCAATCTTATCAAGTTAATTTCGCACTCCTCCACGCCTTCGTTCAGCGATAGGCTTGACTACCACCACATAGGGTACTCCTTCAGCGTCTGATCGGGCAGATCCACTCACTTTCCGGCTCATGACTTGCCACTCAACTTGAGTTGACACCTCTTCCCCACCTTCACCCATTCATTAAAAGATTAGGGCCACACTGCCGCCTCTTGGAGCAGATCCATTGATAAGTCCCGATAAGCCACCCATTCATGCCGAGACCCACAACCGCAAGACCTCTTAAACAGAAGCGTAGAAAGATTTGGCAACAAGTCGTGACAAAATATGGGAGGTAATGATAATGTTATAATGGGGAATATAGGGATTAAAGAATTTTATACTGCATAAGTTTAGTTAAAAGCATTTACCAAGTTTTTAAACAATCCTCTCCTGCCATCCAGAACCAAGCTGAGAAGCTAAATACCAGAGATCCTTTCAATTACCATATTTTTTACAGCATTAAAATTTAACCAACAAAGATACTAATAATCACATTTCACTTTCTTGTTTAAGAGTCTGAAATATTATAAATAAAGTTATTATAACAGAAAATACCAAGACAATGGCTTAAGTTCATTATAACTAAATTTATCTCTTTAAAATTAGGATTTTCCCATGTTATCAGCACCCTTTGGTATTCCAGCTCCCGGCTGAGAGTACATTCTACCAACAATTAAAAGCTATCTAGATGTTCCCAGGCTATCTATTAATTTCCATTGCTATCAGCAGGCTCTCGTCTATGGCTAATGATGAACGCGTTCAGATTGGATGAGACCAAGTGGGGCTACTCCAGACGCCGATAAGGAAGCGCTATAAAAGTGGCTAGAGCCCTGGAGGAGGCACATTCAATCACAATGAAAGTGTTCGTCGTATTGGCTCTGGCTCTGGCCGCCGTCTCCGCGGAGACCATTGAACAGGTGCATCCCAAGGACTTGTCCGGCAACACCAAAATCAATGGCCGCATCGTAAACGGCTACCCGGCATACGAGGGCAAGGCCCCCTATACCGTCGGCCTTGGCTTCAGCGGAAACGGAGGCTGGTGGTGCGGCGGATCCATCATCGCCCACGATTGGGTGCTCACTGCCGCTCACTGCACCAACAATGCCGCCCAGGTGACCATCTACTACGGTGCCTCCTGGCGCACCAACGCCCAGTTCACCCACACTGTGGGCAGCGGTAACTTCATCCAGAACGGCAACTGGCCCAACCAGAACGGCAACGACATCGCCCTGATCCGCACCCCGCACGTCGACTTCTGGAACCTGGTCAACAAGGTGGAGCTGCCCAGCTACAACGACCGCTACAACATGTATGACGGTTGGTGGGCCGTGGCCTGCGGTTGGGGACTGACCACCTCCGGCTCCCAGCCCGACTGGATGGAGTGCGTCGACCTGCAGATCATCAGCAACTCTGAGTGCTCCCGCACCTACGGAAACCAGCCCGATGGCATCCTTTGCGTGTCCACCTCCGGCGGCAAGTCTACCTGCTCGGGTGACTCTGGTGGCCCCCTGGTTCTCCACGACGGCGGTCGCCTGGTGGGAGTCACCTCCTGGGTTTCCGGCAGCGGCTGCACCGCCGGCCTGCCCTCCGGCTTCACTCGCGTCACCAACCAGCTTGACTGGATCCGTGACCACTCCGGCGTGGCTTACTACTAAGCTCGATGTCCGGCCTTTATTTAAATAAATGGAATTCTTCAAAAAATTAATGGTGTTTTGAATTAATTATTGCTTTAGAATCGCTTTACTAAGGGACACCAGATGCTGGTGTACTCTTTGAGAACACTTCTATACCAAAAACAACCTCTGGAAGCCAACGATTTCACACTCTTGCAATTAATCAAATCGGCCAAAACTTAGCCAAATATGCATTAATTTCAATTCGGAATCCTTTTTATGCTTGTTTTTATTACGGCAACAAAACTGCATACTCAATTTAAAGTGTTAAAAAATGAAAAATGTAGTCGTTTTTTTGCAAAAATCGAAAAAAATCATTTCAGGCTGACATTGACAAATGCAGCTGTAGGTGCTGATCATTTATGATTTATATTTATTATATGATTTATGGGGTCGGAAATGGGGTCAAAAATGTACTAAATTTAATTCGGAAACCTTTTCTATGCTAGTTTTTATTATGGCAACAAAACTACATACACATTTCTAGAAGCTTCAGACTAAACTTAGAGTACCATTCTTTGAGTCGATATTTATCCATATTTTATGTGACAATTTTGTCTATAAATCAAATTTTAAAAATGTCATAACTTGGCCAAAAATGCATTAATTTCAATTCGGAAACATTTCCTATTCTGTTTTTTACCAGGGCAATAAAACTGCATACTCAATTTAAAATGTTAAAAAATTAAGATTTGGGTCGATTTTTGACAATTTTAATGATGTAACCCCTTATCATTTTTTGCAAAAATAGAGAACATTTTCAAAATTTTTTTTTCAACCGGAGAAAGATGGATCGATTCAGCTGCTGATGCTGATCAAGAATATATATGCTTTATGGGGTCGGAAATGACTCCTTCACAGTTTTTCAAGCTTCTGATTAAACTTAGACTACCGTTTTTGGGTCGAAATTTATCTATACTTTATGTGCCAATTTCGTCTATAAACCAAATTTTAAAAAACTCATAGCTAAGTCAAAAATTTACTAAACTTAATTCGGAAACCTTTCTTATGTTAGGTTTTATTCTGGCGACAAAACTGCATACTCCGTTTTTTCGGGAAACAGTCCTTCACATTTCTAGAAGCTTCAGACTAAACTTAGAGTACCATTCTTTGAGTCGATATTTATCCATATTTTATGTGACAATTTTGTCTATAAATCAAATTTTAAAAATGTCATAACTTGGTCAAAAATGCATTAATTTCAATTCGGAAACATTTCCTATTCTGTTTTTTACCAGGGCAATAAAACTGCATACTCAATTTAAAATGTTAAAAAATTAAGATTTGTGTCGATTTTTGGCAATTTTAATGATCATGACCCTTATCATTTTTTGCAAAAATAGAGAAAATTTTCAAAATTTTTTTTCAGCCGAAGATGGATGGATCGATTCAGCTGCTGATGCTGATCAAGAATATATATGCTTTATGGGGTCGGAAATGACTCCTTCACAGTTTTTCAAGCTTCTGATTAAACTTAGACTACCGTTTTTGGGTCGAAATTTATCTATACTTTATGTGCCAATTTCGTCTATAAACCAAATTTTAAAAAATTCATAGCTAAGTCAAAAATTTACTAAACTTAATTCGGAAACCTTTCTTATGTTAGGTTTTATTCTGGCGACAAAACTGCATACTCAGTTTTTTAGGGAAACAGTCCTTCACATTTCTAGAAGCTTTAGACTAAACTTAGAGTACAATTCTTTGAGTCGATATTTATCCATATTTTATGTGACAATTTTGTCTATAAATCAAATTTTAAAAATGTCATAACTTGGCCAAAAATGCATTAATTTCAATTCGGAAACATTTCCTATTCTGTTTTTTACCAGGGCAATAAAACTGCATACTCAATTTAAAATGTTAAAATATTAAGATTTGTGTCGATTTTTGACAATTTTAATGATGCAAAAATGATTTTAATGATTTTAATATTTTGCTAAAATCGAGAAAATTTTCAAAATTTTTTTTTCAACCGGAGATAGATGGATCGATTCAGCTGATGCTGATCAAGAATATATATGCTTTATGGGGTCGGAAATGACTCCTTCACAGTTTTACAAGCTTCTGACTAAATTTAGAATACCATTCTTTGAAAAATTGGGTAAAATTAATACAAATGTTTTCGCAATCATTTTTGTTTTATTAATTAGGTTTCGTCTGGGCTAGTTATATGTATATAATTGCATATGAAAACATATGTATACCTTGAATGGGTATATAAACAATTTCTAAAAGTCGTTATTGCAATGTTTATTTAGTTTGCAAGTATTATTTTTAATTTGTTGACCACAAATATGAAAATTCATTCATGTCGAGAGATCGTTGTAAATTGTTTAAAGATTTATAGGTATGATTAGATAAAAAGGTGTACGCCCAATGAAGAACGGACAAACACTGCCATAAATATTGATAAGACTATTCAAAACAGGCGGAGAAAAACCCAAACATTTTGCTTAAAATATCTATTATATATGGCTCCTTGAATCCATTTAACATTCCCTTTTCCTTTCAGTAAATATTAATTGTAAACAAGAAAGGAAGCTAACTTCGACACGCCGAAGTTTATATACCCTTGCAGATAGAACTTCTATGAATAGGAATCCATACAATATAAATATAATTTATTATATTTTTATTTATTTATTTTTATTTTTATTTATTATATTTGTGTTAAAAAACAATGAAGTAATACCTGCTTTCATTTCATTCACCTATACATATTATATTTGCAGTTTTACATTCACAGATTTGCATTTTTCGTCTACATCAAACGATCGTTTGTATGGCACCTATATGATATAGTCGTCCGATCCGGCCCGTTCCTACATATATACGAGTGAGAGTATATAGAAGACTAACTGCAAAGTTTCATTCAGATAGCTTCAAAACTGAGAGACTAGTTTGCGTAGAAACGGACAGACGGACAGACGGAAAGACGGACAGACGGACAGACGGACATGGCTAGATCGACTCGGCTGTTGATCCTGATCAAGAATATATATACTTTATATAGTCGGAGGTGCCTCCTTCACTGCGTTGCAAACTTCTGACTGAAATTATAATACCCTGCAAGGGTATAAAAATTGAAAGTAAAGCCCACTTATTCTAATTTATAAGTACAAATTATAAAATTATTCATAAAATTCAGACCACACCGAAAAACTATCTGCTTGGGCTTTAGTCAGTTTCTTCCGCCGACGAAAGCTTGGTCAAGTGGTTCCTTTAGGTGCTTATCGCTGTCATCGTTTACGGGATTTATGGGAGTCTCGATGAATATTTACGAACTTATTCCCGTTCCAGATACGGATAGTGGGAACCATGCTCATGGAGGGAATATAAAAGAAAGCTCCCTGGGTAGCATACTCCAGTATCAACATCAACATGAAGGTGTTCCTAACTATCCTGGCTCTGGCCGTGGCCTCGGCCGCCGCCTTCGACGAGAAGGTCTTCGTGAAGGACCTGCCCAAGACCCTGAAGATCGAGGGTCGTATCACGAACGGATACCCCGCCTCCGAGGGCAAGGCTCCCTACACCGTCGGTCTCGGCTTCAGCGGAGGCTGGTGGTGCGGTGGCTCTATCATCGGAAACACCTGGGTCCTGACCGCCGAGCACTGCATCGGAGACGCCGGCTCCGTGACCGTCTACTTTGGAGCCACCTGGCGCACCAACGCCCAGTTCACTCACACCGTGGGCAACGGCAACTTCATCAAGCACTCCAACGCCGACATTGCCCTGATCCGCATCCCCCACGTGGACTTCTGGCACATGGTCAACAAGGTGGAGCTGCCCAGCTACAACGACCGCTACAACAACTACAACGAGTGGTGGGCCGTGGCCTGCGGATGGGGCGGCACCTACGACGGCAGCCCGCTGCCCGACTGGCTGCAGTGCGTCGACCTGCAGATCGTCCACAACGACGAGTGCAACTGGACCTACGGCAGTGTTGGCGACAACACCATCTGCACCCGCACCGTCGACGGCAAGTCCATCTGCGGAGGCGACTCCGGTGGTCCCCTGGTCACACACGACGGCAACAAGTTGGTCGGCGTCAGCAACTTTGTCTCCAGCAACGGCTGCCAGTCGGGAGCTCCTGCTGGCTTCCAGCGCGTCACCTACCACTTGGACTGGATTCGCGACCACACTGGCATCTCCTACTAATTTCAATAAATAAAACGATTATTTGAAAAGCAATGAAAACGCTATTCTTTTTTTCTTAGGAATACAACATACTCAGTTTTTTCGGGAAACAGCCCTTCACATTTCTAGAAGCTTCAGACTAAACTTAGAGTACCATTCTTTGAGTCGATATTTATCCATATTTTATGTGACAATTTTGTCTATAAATCAAATTTTAAAAATGTCATAACTTGGCCAAAAATGCATTAATTTCAATTCGGAAACATTTCCTATTCTGTTTTTTACCAGGGCAATAAAACTGCATACTCAATTTAAAATGTTAAAAAATTAAGATTTGGGTCGATTTTTGACAATTTTAATGATGTAACCCCTTATCATTTTTTGCAAAAATAGAGAACATTTTCAAAATTTTTTTTTCAACCGGAGAAAGATGGATCGATTCAGCTGCTGATGCTGATCAAGAATATATATGCTTTATGGGGTCGGAAATGACTCCTTCACAGTTTTTCAAGCTTCTGATTAAACTTAGACTACCGTTTTTGGGTCGAAATTTATCTATACTTTACTTTTTCGGGAAACAGTCCTTCACATTTTTAGAAGCTTCAGACTAAACTTAGAGTACCATTCTTTGAGTCGATATTTATCCATATTTTATGTGACAATTTTGTCTATAAATGATGAAGAAGATGGATGGATCGATTCAGCTGCTGATGCTGATCAAGAATATATATGCTTTATGGGGTCGGAAATGACTCCTTCACAGTTTTTCAAGCTTCTGATTAAACTTAGACTACCGTTTTTGGGTCGAAATTTATCTATACTTTATGTGCCAATTTCGTCTATAAACCAAATTTTAAAAAATTCATAGCTAAGTCAAAAATTTACTAAACTTAATTCGGAAACCTTTCTTATGTTAGGTTTTATTCTGGCGACAAAACTGCATACTCAGTTTTTTAGGGAAACAGTCCTTCACATTTCTAGAAGCTTTAGACTAAACTTAGAGTACAATTCTTTGAGTCGATATTTATCCATATTTTATGTGACAATTTTGTCTATAAATCAAATTTTAAAAATGTCATAACTTGGCCAAAAATGCATTAATTTCAATTCGGAAACATTTCCTATTCTGTTTTTTACCAGGGCAATAAAACTGCATACTCAATTTAAAATGTTAAAATATTAAGATTTGTGTCGATTTTTGACAATTTTAATGATGCAAAAATGATTTTAATGATTTTAATATTTTGCTAAAATCGAGAAAATTTTCAAAATTTTTTTTTCAACCGGAGATAGATGGATCGATTCAGCTGATGCTGATCAAGAATATATATGCTTTATGGGGTCGGAAATGACTCCTTCACAGTTTTACAAGCTTCTGACTAAATTTAGAATACCATTCTTTGAAAAATTGGGTAAAATTAATACAAATGTTTTCGCAATCATTTTTGTTTTATTAATTAGGTTTCGTCTGGGCTAGTTATATGTATATAATTGCATATGAAAACATATGTATACCTTGAATGGGTATATAAACAATTTCTAAAAGTCGTTATTGCAATGTTTATTTAGTTTGCAAGTATTATTTTTAATTTGTTGACCACAAATATGAAAATTCATTCATGTCGAGAGATCGTTGTAAATTGTTTAAAGATTTATAGGTATGATTAGATAAAAAGGTGTACGCCCAATGAAGAACGGACAAACACTGCCATAAATATTGATAAGACTATTCAAAACAGGCGGAGAAAAACCCAAACATTTTGCTTAAAATATCTATTATATATGGCTCCTTGAATCCATTTAACATTCCCTTTTCCTTTCATTAAATATTAATTGTAAACAAGAAAGGAAGCTAACTTCGACACGCCGAAGTTTATATACCCTTGCAGATAGAACTTCTATGAATAGGAATCCATACAATATAAATATAATTTATTATATTTTTATTTATTTATTTTTATTTTTATTTATTATATTTGTGTTAAAAAACAATGAAGTAATACCTGCTTTCATTTCATTCACCTATACATATTATATTTGCAGTTTTACATTCACAGATTTGCATTTTTCGTCTACATCAAACGATCGTTTGTATGGCACCTATATGATATAGTCGTCCGATTTTTATGAAATTTGCCACAAAATTTAAGACTTATATAAAATGGCTATACCTTAAATTTGATGAAAATCAGTTGAAAACTTAAAAAGTTATAAATTTAATTGTATTAATTTCTCGATCGTTCCTATGGGAGCTATATGATATAGTAATCCGATTTTCATAAAATTTTACACAAAATTGTAGAATAATATGAAACGGCTATATCTCAAATTTGATGAAAATCTGTTGAAAACTGAAAATGTTATACTTATTAATTGAATTAATTTCTCGATCGTTCCTATGGGAGCTATATGATATATTAGTCCGATTTTCATAAAATTTTACACAAAATTGTAGAATAATATGAAATGGCTATATCTTAAATTTGATCAAATTCTGTTGAAAACTAAAAATTTTATAATTTTTTTTGTAAAACTTTTCCGATCATTCCTATGACAGCTATATGATATAGTCGTCCGATCCGGCCCGTTCCTACATATATACGAGTGAGAGTATATAGAAGACTAACTGCAAAGTTTCATTCAGATAGCTTCAAAACTGAGAGACTAGTTTGCGTAGAAACGGACAGACGGACAGACGGACAGACGGACAGACGGACATGGCTAGATCGACTCGGCTGTTGATCCTGATCAAGAATATATATACTTTATATAGTCGGAGGTGCCTCCTTCACTGCGTTGCAAACTTCTGACTGAAATTATAATACCCTGCAAGGGTATAAAAATTGAAAGTAAAGCCCACTTATTCTAATTTATAAGTACAAATTATAAAATTATTCATAAAATTCAGACCACACCGAAAAACTATCTGCTTGGGCTTTAGTCAGTTTCTTCCGCCGACGAAAGCTTGGTCAAGTGGTTCCTTTAGGTGCTTATCGCTGTCATCGTTTACGGGATTTATGGGAGTCTCGATGAATATTTACGAACTTATTCCCGTTCCAGATACGGATAGTGGGAACCATGCTCATGGAGGGAATATAAAAGAAAGCTCCCTGGGTAGCATACTCCAGTATCAACATCAACATGAAGGTGTTCCTAACTATCCTGGCTCTGGCCGTGGCCTCGGCCGCCGCCTTCGACGAGAAGGTCTTCGTGAAGGACCTGCCCAAGACCCTGAAGATCGAGGGTCGTATCACGAACGGATACCCCGCCTCCGAGGGCAAGGCTCCCTACACCGTCGGTCTCGGCTTCAGCGGAGGCTGGTGGTGCGGTGGCTCTATCATCGGAAACACCTGGGTCCTGACCGCCGAGCACTGCATCGGAGACGCCGGCTCCGTGACCGTCTACTTTGGAGCCACCTGGCGCACCAACGCCCAGTTCACTCACACCGTGGGCAACGGCAACTTCATCAAGCACTCCAACGCCGACATTGCCCTGATCCGCATCCCCCACGTGGACTTCTGGCACATGGTCAACAAGGTGGAGCTGCCCAGCTACAACGACCGCTACAACAACTACAACGAGTGGTGGGCCGTGGCCTGCGGATGGGGCGGCACCTACGACGGCAGCCCGCTGCCCGACTGGCTGCAGTGCGTCGACCTGCAGATCGTCCACAACGACGAGTGCAACTGGACCTACGGCAGTGTTGGCGACAACACCATCTGCACCCGCACCGTCGACGGCAAGTCCATCTGCGGAGGCGACTCCGGTGGTCCCCTGGTCACACACGACGGCAACAAGTTGGTCGGCGTCAGCAACTTTGTCTCCAGCAACGGCTGCCAGTCGGGAGCTCCTGCTGGCTTCCAGCGCGTCACCTACCACTTGGACTGGATTCGCGACCACACTGGCATCTCCTACTAATTTCATTAAATAAAACGATTATTTGAAAAGCAATGAAAACTCTATTCTTTTTTTCTTAGGAATACAACATACTTTTGATCAATTTGCACTTGATACTGAATGTTCTTGAACTACGCGCGCAACTCGAGTCCGATAAACATATCTCCCCCAGGCTGGTCACACTGACTACTCATTTGTTGTTTGTTTTCTTATTTTCCGCCAAATTTCCGTCGCAAATGGTCGCAGTATGTCCACCTGCAGTGCGTCCGAAATTGCGGAAAAGAAGCGCATTGCGCTGTCTAAGCTGCAGGCTAAGAAGTCCCAGCTCCTGGCCAACGCGAATGGCGGGAGACCAGCTCCGACGACTCCAACTAGTTCAGCGCAGCAACAAGTCCGCAATGGAAGCCATGGAAATCCCAAACAACCGCAAGTCAAGTCTCCCTTGAACTTCTACCGCTCGCCGCCAGCAGCAGGGCAGGGGAAGATCAGCAGGACTGGTCCCACCACTAGCGACAACAAGAGCTCCTCGTTTCTGAACGCCTTGAAGGCAATAAAGCAAACCTCCGCTCGGGAATTGTGCCGCAGTGCAGCACATCCTTACCAGCGACCAAATGGCGGCGACAAGGACATCAGAAGCAGGCCAACGCTATCGCTGGCTCCGGAGATGGAGCAGCCGCCAGTGGCGCCGGTGTTTCGGAATTCAATAACCTGCAACCTCTACATGACCAGCGCAAATCGGTTTGCGGCTCACACATCCGGTTATCACGAGAAGCTGGTTGCCGTGTTTAAGAACATGCCCACCAAAAGCTACGACAGCAACAGCCGCATCTGGAACTTCGACCTGACGGACTACCAAGCGCTGCAATTGCATGCAGCTGACCTTAAGCCAAGCGTACATGTGAATGGCGTGCCCAAGAAGGTGCTGGATTTGTGCCAGCAACCGCCAGTGGATTCGGAGCGGAGTGTCTTGGCCTCCATAGAGCCCAAGTTGGCGGAGAAGCTGATGCCCTTCCAGCAGGATGGCGTGTGGTAAGAGTTCTCTTGTACAATTTCGTAGAATGATCACTACTAGTGGCTTCCCCAGCTTCGCCATTGCCCAGAAGGGACGCATTATGATCTGTGATGAAATGGGTCTGGGCAAGACCTATCAAGCTCTTGCCGTGGCTGATTATTTCAAAGATGACTGGCCCCTGCTTGTCTGCACTACGGCCTCGACGCGGGACAGCTGGGCCAAGCACATTGTTGAACTGCTACCCAAGGTGCCGGTCCACTACATCCAGGTGCTTAACAACAATCAACAATATGTGGGCGAGGCCCGGGTGCTCATCACCAGCTACAACATGATGGAAAAGCACATGGACAAGCTGCTACAGCGTAAGTACGGCTTCATAATCTTCGACGAGTCGCACACACTGAAGAACAGCAAAGCTAAGTGCACGGCGGTGGCCAAGAGACTCACGGATCAGGCCAAGCGTGTGGTCTTGCTCTCGGGTACACCGGCTCTCTCCAGACCCTTGGAGTTGTTCACGCAATTGCAGCTAATCGACAGCAAGTTCATGAATTTCATGGAGTTTAGTAAGTAAATAAGTGACTTAATTTGTAAGGTCATTTTTTATAATATGTAATTTCTTACACTTCAGCAACTCGTTACTGTGATGGCAAACAGTCCACGTTTGGCTGGGATGCCAGTGGCCAATCAAACCTGGAGGAGCTCAAGGTGATGCTTACTTTGAAGTATATGCTTAGGCGAACCAAGACAGAGGTACTGCCGCAGCTAGCTGAGAAGAACAGGTATTTATCAAAGCAGCAGTTAAATATACATGTATAATCAATTTTTCCCTCTAAAATTCTTAGGGAAACTGTAGTGCTGGATCCGTCTTTGGTCTGGACCAATGAGGAGACCAAGGATAGCTTGGATGCCTTTAACAGAGAGCTGAAAACCAGCAAAGGCAAAGCCTCCGAGGAGATTCTCCTGCGTTTTTATGCTCGCACAGCTGAAGTAAAGACTCGAGCCGTTTGGTAACTATTTTAAATTAAACCTAATTCTTTTAGTTAGGTATTCATAATTTTTCCTTAATTTTAGTGCCTATGTAAAAACCTTGCTTAAGGAAAATAAGAAATTTATCATTTTTGCCCATCATCGGGTAATGATGGATGCCATTAGCGATTGTCTCGCTCAGATGAAGGTACACTACATAAGGATTGATGGACAAACGCGCAGTGATCTCAGGGCTGACTTTGTGGACACTTTTCAGAAGAAGAGTAGCTGCAAGGTAGCCCTGCTCTCCTTGAAAGCATGCAACTCCGGGATTACTCTTACAGCCGCCGAGATCATAGTGTTTGCGGAACTGGACTGGAATCCAAGTGTAAGTTTGAGTGGCTCGTTAACTGGGGAGAGTTTCTTTTAAATTAAAATTTTTGAAACCGTTACAGACGCTTGCCCAGGCCGAGAGCCGTGCCCATCGCATAGGCCAAACGAAAGAGGTGATATGTCGCTACCTAATGGCCACTCATACAGCCGATGATACTATATGGAATATGCTAAAGAACAAGCAGGAGGTGCTTAGTAAGGTAGGCATCTTCGCAGAGAATCTTCAAAAAGCCACGCACACAGCGGCGCCCACTTCGGTAAGTGTTACTCTGCTTTATTTCAAATTATTTACTAAGATAAAACCAACTTTAAAGTCCCACAAAATCGAGGAATTTTTCTCCCCCGCGAAATCCTCTATAGTCCATTCGGATAGGGGTACCATTAGGCAGTTTCTATCGCCGGCTCCCAGTGAAACCAAAAATAATGTGGAAGAGAAATCCAAAAAAGCTCTTCTCAAGTCGGATATGGCAGCCTTTTTCGACGATGATGAAGATGAGGCCTTGCTGGACTTAGATATTTAGTTTTATGTCCTAAAACTTCTGTTGAATTATGCCAATAAATTGTAGTTAATTGTGTGTCAAGTCTTTGCGCATGCTCCACGTCTCACCTGGTGGGATGACAATGTTCCTTGTCCTGGCAACAAACAAACAAGCAAACACTAAAGCAGTAGCAAACCTTTTCACTTGTTTCAAATATAAATAAAATACACAAACTTAGCTAAAAGAAAACTAAAATATATAAAGATATAGCCATGGCCGATTCGCAAGGAGATACTGAGCTGATGGGCGAAGAGGAGGACAACGAACTTTTGTTTCACGAATCGTTCATCCCGGAGATCATCACCATTGAACACTCGTTCGGCTACGATTGCAAGAGGCTCTTCAATCTGGTTCTGGTGGATGAGGATACCTTGGTGTTTGCCTCGGGCAACTTTTTGAAATTTTTTAGCATTTCCCGGCAAGAGATTACGTTTCAGGAGACCAAGTACGGCTGTGGCATAGGCTTCATTACGGTTTGTAGTCCTGACTTCTTTCCTTAATGGATTACCTTTTGAAACTCATTCTTTGACCCTTAGAAAAACGACCATCCCGACTTCCAGGGCCTTTTTACGGTAGCGGAGAATGGACCACAGCCTACGGTATTCATCTACGAGTTTCCGTCGATGGATGTTCGTATCAAACTCTTGAATGCAGCGAAAGCTTGCTTTACGGCCGGATCCTACAACAAGACGGGTGAACTGTTCGCCTCACAGGCCGGCTATCCGGACTTCATCATCACCATCTGGCGCTGGGAAAAGGCTGAGGTGGTGCTGCGAGCCAAGTCCTTTCAGAGCGACATCCTTTTCGTACACTTCTCGGAGCACAATCCCATACTGCTGTGCTCGTCGGGCCTGAGTCACATCAAATTCTGGAAGATGGCCAACACCTTTACCGGGCTCAAGCTGAAGGGCGATCTGGGGCGCTTTGGCAAGACGGATTTCAGTGACATCTGCGCCATGTACATGCTGGCCGATGAGAATGTGATCTCGGGCTGCGACTGGGGCAACATGCTGCTCTGGCAGGCGGGCCTCATCAAGTTCGAGATATGCCGCAAGGGTCGTAAGCCGTGCCACACCAAGCCCATCACGCGAATTACTATGAAGAACGGGGAGGTGACCACCGTCGGCATGGATGGCTACGTGCGCGTCTGGTATTGGGAAACTGTGGACTTGGCGGATCCGCCGGAGGATGATCTGTTCGTGGAGATCGATCCGATCTACGAGTTTAAGATCGCCGACGTGGAGCTGCGCTGCATGCAAAAGATTCATCTCTACGACGAGATGGACTTTACGCACTACGCCCAGGATGGTAACGGCGGCATTTGGTTCTGCGACATCAACACTTACGACGTACCTGAGAAGCCCCGAAAGCTCTACTCCTGCATCGGCGGCAAAGTAATCTCCTCCCAGATGTCCCCGGTGTCGCCGCACTTCCTGTGCATGTCCGAGAGCGGCAAGATAATGGTGTATGATTACGAGGCGGAAAAGCTCATCCTGGAGAAGCAGTTCCCGGCAAAAGGCGTCGAAGTGTTGTGGCTGGACACACAGATATCGATCAATGGTACCGAACTGGTGGCCGGATTTGAGGACGGCATTCTGCGGCAATTGTTTTTGGATTTGAGCGATCCCAGCCGGCCAACCATGACCCGAGTGAGAGTCTTTAAGGCACACACGTCGCCCATTTCCAGGATAACCGTGAACCGAACGAGCACTCTGCTCCTCACTGGCAGCGTCGACAAGAGCATATTCATCTACCAGTTGGGCCGCGGTGATAACTTGTTGGTGGACATTCATCCCTTGGGATTCGTGCAGTTCAGAGCGATTCCCAACTGCTTCTACTGGCATGAGACGGAACCCACCGTGGTCCTTGTGGGCTGCAGAACCGGCGAGGTGTACGAGTACAATGTGCGCACCCAGGTCACCGAGGAGGAGACCTACCTATCCTACAATATTACGGAGTCATCGCGTCAGCGCTTCGTGAAGTTTACTTCCGTGAAGAGTCGAATCCGGAGGGACATCAGACGGCAACAAATGAAGAAGCGCAAAGAACGTAAGCGGGAGCGCAAGATGAACGAGATCGAAAAGCTTAAGAAGGCCAATCCGGGTCTGCAGATCGATATGGATTCGGCCCTGGCCGACTCAGAGCCCGATGAAGAGGAGGAGCCGCTGTTCATACCTCCTGTGCCCAATGCCATCATCTGGCTGCGCTACACGGTGCGAGACACCATCTGGGTGTCCATGGCTGGCTATGATGCGGGCTACATCTATGAGCTGGAGTTCCAGGCGGCGGAACCTACGTGTTCCACCATTATTACGGATGCGGATGACATCGAGATTCACTCGTACTGCATTATGTGAGTTTGAAATCCCCAGTTTCGTAGGATTACACAATATTCTAATTCTCTATCCCCCACAGAGATCAATACCTAATTTTTGGCCTAATCAACGGACGTCTTCGCATCAACCGCATCAATCCGGACAACTTTAGGGACCTTTCCCAGTACCGCATCTATCCTATGCACGATGGTCTCAAGGGCATCATTCCCAGCATCCAGACCAGCTACAATGGCGAGCACATCCTCACCGTTGGCTACGATGGCAATATGTTCCTACACAATTGGCACGGTCCTAGGATTGTCAAGAACCCCCGTCGGGATAATCTTATGGCCTTGCCTCCCAACGTCCGTGCTGTTCCCGATATAATCGATTCAGACGAACCATCACTGGAACAGGAGAAGATCAATGCAGAGCTGCGTCGCCAGCAAGAAGCGGCTGAGGCACACGATCGTGATGTCCTGGCCAAGATCGGAGTGCTGCAGAACGATTACTTTAAGATCATCAAAATTAACGAGGATCTGCCGCCAGGACTAAGGGCCAAGGATACAGATTTGCTGTTGGATCCACGCATCAAGAAACAGATTCGGGATGAGTTACAGGCAGAGCTGGATGACGTGCGTGAAGACTTGGCCTACGACCTGGAATTTGCCCAGGTGGGGCATAAAAAGCTCTACAATCACTTCCTTAAAAAGCTAGTCGAAGTTCCCTTCACGGTGAACCCACTGGGGTGAGTGAAGCTGATACAATGTAAATATGTACTCCTAAAGCTAAACCATCTCATCGTTAGTACTAATGTCCCAGGCGTGGCCACTTTTCGCCTGCAAGAGCTGGGCGAGGAGTTCGAGCAGATCAAGCGTGACATTGAACTGCGTCTGCAGCAAGAGCACGACATGGGGTAAGTCGGGGAACTGGGACATCAGACACTTGAGCTATCAACACTTGACTACACAACATACATTTTTCTCCGAATCCCCAACAAGCAGCCTTTACAGGTTGGATCGAGTGGCAGAACAACCGGAAGTGTAAGCCTGATAAGTTCTTTAAGTACCTCAGCAACCTGTACTCCCTGCACTACTCCTATTCCTCTCATAACCTTTATGTATTCATCTCTAACAATTGTTCTTTATGGCATCTCCATAGCCTCCAAGACCTGGTGGTAGCCGAGCCGTCAAGCGAATTCACTAGCCAGCCCCCACCGGAAGCGTTTTTCTTCGGCAGGGATCCGCGTAGCATCGAGCCACGCTTTAGCAGGAAGATGATGCGTCTCCTGGTCCGCTATCGGAAGCGTCAACTTTACGAAGTGCGTCGCATCTTTGACTGGGATAAACTGGAGCGCCAGAAACCGGATCCCAATCGCAATCATCCGGATGATGATGCCAAAATCGAGGAGGCCAAGCGCAACTTGGGTGACTATAAGCTAAAAGTTGGCGACGACTATGAGCCCAAGTCTTCTGAGACTCTGACACAGAAGTACATTGAGATCGTCAAATGCCGCGAACGTTACTATAGTATGGTGAACAGCTTCAACATATCGGTGGCAAAGATGCGCTCCCGTAAGCAGGATCTGATGCAGTTCATCAACGCCAAACGAAATCGCTTGGACGTGATAAATAGCTATCTACCTGAGGCGGATCGCCTGCCCTTGATACCAATACAAGAGATCGACATGGACCTGGAGTTCCCCGAGCTCAATCTGGTCGAGCACTACACTCCCGGCTGCGGTGTGGAAATTGATGACATTCTCACCCTGGAGCAGAGTGTGGATGATGTAAGTGTCCCCGATTAAGAAGTAGTCTCAAATGACAAGAATACATTCTCGTTTCACAGGTAATAGCCTCCCAGACCTCAAAGTTCAAAAAGGAGTCAAGCCTCAGCCTGTTCAATATAAGGGGCCTGAATGTTCCCGAACTGCACGAGTACTCCGCCTATGTAATGTTACAAATCTCTAAGCTGGAACGCTGCCTGTCCAATGCAGATCTGATCGCAAGTCTGATGGAGCTGCCGGCTGCCAGTGAGCCTGCCTATTTCGAGGTGAGCCCGGATGTTGCGACACCTATAATGGTTGAGATGCGACACCGGTGGGTGCGAAACATGCTGCGTGAGCAGTCAGCGATCCGGGCGGAGGTCGAGGAGGAGGTTCAGCAGTTTGACAGAGCGCTGGCCAAGCTGCAGGTGACGCGTTTCCACGTCAAGCTGGATGCCGAGTTTATGACCTCGTATCTGATCAGCCTCAACCAGGAGCTGTACATCTTGCGCGACAGCGAGGAGATCGAGCTGCAACTGATGCTGAACGCTAAGACTGCCATGAACACCCGGAACGATCTGCAGGTGGTCATCAATGCCACCAACCGTCAGTTGGACGACCTGCGCCGAAACATCGACAAACTGGGCGAGCAGATCGTCGCCGTTCAGCTACTCTTCATGAGCACGGTGAAGGGTCACAAGTTCTTCGATTTCCTGCGTCGCATCTTTAAGAAAAAATGGCGTCCACCGAAGGTGGCTAAGGTCGATGACGATGAGTCCTCCTCCTCCTCTTCATCATCATCCAGCGAGGACGAACAAGCGGACAACAAGAGTCTGGACTCTCTAGACATGACCACCATTCGGTTGGACGAGACCACCTGTCCAACGGGGCTGGATCGAGGTCTCTACGACCTGGCCTTCTCCATGAGATCCGATCGCCATGAACTGGAGCGCAATGTCCGGGATCTGCAGCGGGATGTGGAGAATAAGCGAAAGGAGATCGCCGAGATGCAGATCAAGATGAAGTTCCATGAAGAGGTCTACCAGCGGGAGAAAAATGCCCTCTTGAAATTTCGGGTAGGTTTTATTAACTGATTCCTGGGAATATAATTAAAAATAAATCTCCTCTTAATGCTTTTCCAGCGCAATCGCCAACAGGAAGTCAACAAGGTGAAAATCAGCGTTATCGTCCGCATGGACCAAATGCAGCATTTTTACGAGGGTGATGACTACCGCGACCTGTCCAAGGCTGTACTCTTCGATGCTGACATGCTGGTGGATCTCCGTCGTCGGGCGGATCAGCTGAGCGAGGAGACCAAGGCCACCAAGCGCTGGCACCGCATCAACTTCATTCACCTGCGACGCATGAACACAGACATCAAATTCATGCGTTTCGAGATCACACGCCTGGAGGAGGAGATCCGTCAGGCAATGATGAAGAAGTTTGGCCTGATTGTCAATCTTGATGAGCTGGAGGAGGAGGTTTTGCGACGCTATATCTTTGAACTGGAAACCAATGCCGAAGACGAGCTGAAAGCCCTTGAAAAGGAGTTGATGGAGAAGCAGGTGAGAGGTGCTACGCTCAATGAAAATTTAGGTATACTGAAATTTTTGATCCTTTAGAAAGAGCTAGCGCGGTGCGAGGAGACCTTGATCATGGAGACCCAGAACAACACGGAAAAGCTTAACATAATGACGGTTCTGCGCGAGGAGAAGAATATTCTTTCCACTCTGTTAGACATTCAGGATCGCAACTATGCCAAGTGGACCAGTCCAAGTGTGCTTAATTTAACCTACGACATTGAGAAACTTCGAGGTATCGAGAACTCCTTGCTTCAGCAAATCGAGGTGGGTACCGAATTGAATGAGTTCCCACCTTAACTAATCCTCTCCCCATAATAGTGTCTGGAGCGGGAAATCTGCGCACTGCGTCTTAAATCTAAGCCGCTGCAGATTAACAACGAGTACGAACTGGATCCTAATGTCCCACCGGAGGTAACCACCGAAGTGTTGCCCAATGACGACGCTTTGGTCTGTCCCGCCATCCTCAATGTGGATGCGTATTTGCTGCCACCTATGCCCGATGAGTTCATCATGGAACGCGTTCAGACAATCGTCCAGAAGAGCTTTAACCGATTCTTTGGGCGCAACACCACGCCGGAGAATGTGCGAAAGTTTTCCCAACGATCCTCTCTTTACCTTTGCCAGGCTGCCTACAGCTTCCAGGTGAGAAAAGCACCTAACATTTCTTTAAAGTTCTCCTGACTCCTAATCCCATTCCAGGGCCGCTATACGGACCGCATAGCCGAGTGCATCACCGAGCACCTGCAAACTATTGTGCCCAAGAAGTATTTCATCCACATCAGTGCCGATGAGCTAAGAAAACTATTTAACGAGGTGGTGTCCGTCTTCGACTACGAACGCTCCGATGTGAACACGGAGGAGCTAATCTCAGGCATCTTTGATCACGCCAAGGATTCGCTGTGCGCTCACATTCAAATGGCTGACGCCGATGTGGTTAATCGTACCCACTTTATTGTGGGGCACATGTTCAAGGAGCTCATCGAGGTGCTGCCCGTGGAGGAGTTCCAGTCGGACGAGACCGTACGAATGATCGTGGACGTGCTGGAGCGTGAACCCATGGTAGATCCCCGCGCCATTGATGTGGACAATCTTATCGCCAGCTGCCTGAACCATGCCCAGGACAATTTGCTGGATGGGATTACGGCGTTGCCGGTGCGCAAACTGGCCAGCAGCATTCAACGGGACCTGATAAAGCGGCGCCAGTACAAGCAGCAGGGCTGTCAGCAGCAGCAGATGTCGGTACGGATTGCCAGTAAAAAGTAGGTAGTAGTATGTGTAGGGCGCTGCAGCTATGGCTTGCCCTTTTAGCGTTAACAATATAATTTATTTGTATAATTATTTGGAGTGTAAAGCTTTCGGCAAATGCAAACAATTTTACATGTTTTAAGGTTTGTGTTTTTTTTTTTTTAACTAACCAAACAAGTTATATCAATATTTTTCACCAAGAGAAGGCCCAACCATAATTGGGTTTTCTGATGGAAAATGTGACTAAGCGTTAGAAAAACGCATCCTATTCCATGAGTCCAAAGTGCCAACTAATCCTACCCCAATCTCGCCTTCACAGTGTTTATCTTGAGTGGCAGCAGCTGCAGCATCTCACGCACCACCCCGACTTCAGCCTGCAGCGTCTTGGCGGCTTCTTTGTGCAGCTCACAACCTTCATCAAACTTCTTGTAATAAGTTTGGCAATTGGTGAGCTGCTGCAGCTGCTGGTGAGGATGAGGACTAATCAGCTTGTAGTAGATGCGTCCAATGTGAAAATGGGCATAGAGCATGAGACGTTGCTCCTCCTCATCCATGTTAGGACGCCACTCCTCGCTCGGCGGCTTGGCCATGTACGATTTGATAAAGCTCTCAAAGTGCTTGATAGCTTTCTGGCAGCTCTGGTTGACCTTCTTGATCTCATCCGGCGTCGGGGAGCTCTTGGCACGGATGGCATCGAGACGGACATCCAGAACGGCGGCATGAGCTGTGCCTGCACCATACCAACACTCGCGGCAAATCTTCATGTAAAAAATGGGATCGATCAGATCGAGAAGATCCTCCAGGTACTTGGCTCGACGCTTCTGCATTTTGGCTTGGTTCTCTGGATTCTCCTCGAAGAAGGCAATGCGCTCATACGCCTCGGCGTAGTCCTGCATTATCTTACAGTACTCGGTGGCCTCGTTCTCCGCCTTGTAGTAGTCCTTGGCAATGTCCAGCCACTCGTTGACAAAGTGGAAGACCAGCTTGGCATCGTCGAAGGTCAGGCAGTAGTCACAGCTAATGCGATTCTCACATGCGGTGAGATCCAGACCGGGAAACCGTGACTCCTCCGCTTCGGCTAGTCGGAGCGTTTGTATGGCCTTCTCCAGGCGCTTGCCCTCCTCACTGTCGTCCTCATCGCGCAACAGACGCTCCCTTGAGGTCTGCATCAAGTGCAAGCCATACTTAGCCCAACAACGAGCCACATCGGCGTACCTATGCTTGAAGGTCTCTGCCACATCCTGCCGCTGCTGTTCACTCATCCCTTCCGGCTCCAGCATGTGTGTCTCGTACTCGGCCATAATGAGAGTTGCGGCTGCCAGGTGATGACGGGCCTCCGCAAATCGCTCCTCTCCGATGTAAAATTGCGACAAGGTAGCAGTATTCAGTGCGAAATCGATGGCATCATACGACTTGTACTGCAACTGGCGGTGTAGCGTGCGATGGCAGCATTTGGCAGACTTCTCCGTCTCTCCCAGGTGGCCATACATCTGCGCCAGATAAAAACACACCAGAGTGTAGAGAGATTCCAGCTCCTTTACACCTGCTGGAGCGGCTTCATGTCCCTCTTCCGGTGGACTGAAGATATCCTGTATGGCCAGGGGTTCCAATCCACTGTCTTTAAACTCCTTGTAGCTCTTTTCGGCCAAAAGCAGCAGGTCCAGGCCTTTTTTGTACTCCTCCTTGGCGGCCAGGACAATGCTGACTTCGTTAATGGCTCCGATGTAGGGAATGATAGCTTCTGGACGCTGTTTCAGCGGCGTGACGAGATCCAAACACCGATTAAGGAGTTCCTCACCCTTGAACTGTTCCTCTGTGTATACATAAATCCGACCAAGATCCCGGCAAACAAAGGCCAGCAGGGAACGGTAGCAGAGGTCATCCGGTCCGCCATCGTCTTCGCTGGCCTGGACGGACACCAGTTGGTCGTCAAGCTGCTTTTTCAAATCGGCCAGTACATCGCGGGCTTTGTAGTGAGACCGAAAGGGATCCGTTGGCGGGTCGTTGCGACTCTCCTCCTCCACCAGTTGGTTGGCCTTCTCGTAGAGCTCCTTGTAGTCGCTCAGAATCTCTTTGGGAATAACCATGTCGGCGTATACTGCTGGGCGGAAAACGTGTTTGTGTCACTTTCAGGAAAAAACGAAGATAGTTGTTTCTTTTTCCAATATTTTGTCGCCTATTTTGTCATTATTTCCAACAGTGTGCCCGCCGGCTTCTCCGGGTATAATCATTAAAAAATCTTTTTAGAAAGAGGGAGTATTTCCACCTCCGCGGCAGCTGGGCACACTAAAAAGAGTAAGTATTCTCGGTATATCTAGCTGCAGTCACACAACATTGTTTTTCAGATTTTTTTCACATCACAAATACCAAAATAATCCAAAATAATTACTAGATCGAAGAGCAGTGAAAACTAGTGTCTTTGGCGCTCACATTTCAAAGGATCTCCACTCACCAATAGAACGAACTGCTCCACGCAAGCACTGTACTATGCAGAAGGTCAAGCCCGATCCAGACTCCAGCGACAAGAAGGTGAAGCGACTGTACCACCAACGGTACCGACCCGAATGGGAGAAATTTCCCGCGTTCGCCAACTGGCTGGGTTCCGCCAATGACGGATACTCAGCCCATTGCCGGATCTGCGATGTGAGTGTCCTGGCCCGACTGGCGTCTATCAAACAGCATCTCATCACCCGGAAGCACCAGGACGGCGCTCGGTGCAATGATTTTCTGTCGCAGGTAAGGGAGAAACTTTGATTTGTTTGCTACAGGAAATGTTTCCCATTTAGAATTGAATTTCTATAAAATGTGTGTATTTTCACTTGCAGAACATGATCAAAGGCGACTCAGATGCAGTGAAACAAATGTGCAGGCCAAGTGCGGCCAAGATCAAGGGGGATCCCGATGCACAGCAGCATATAGGTAGATCCAGGGCTGGTAGCAAGCCGAAGGCGAAGCCCAAACCCAAGGCAAACGTTAAAGTGAAGCGGGAACTCAAGGTGGTGAAGCGCGAGCCTAGGATTGAACGCGTAGAGGTAGTGGAGCATGATATCGCCTCGAACGACTCCATCCTGGACGATCTACTCGGCAACGAGCCTATGGTGAATGTGCCGGAAGAATATGTTGTCGAAGCCGAGGCCGAGCTGATGGACGAAAATGTTTTGGAAGTAGAAAACGTCGAGGATGCGTACGAAGAGTTGATGCCGGAACTAAACGACGATAACATGTCTGAGGATGTTATAATCAGCGAATTCGATCTGTTTGGCAAGAGCTTGGCTCTACAGCTAAATAACATGGACCTTGAGGATGCGTTGCTCTGCCAGGAGCGCTTACAGGTGGTGCTTACAGAGTTCCGCCTGAAGATTCTCAAGCGCAAGCGGGAGGCCACGCGCAGTTCTTAGGCATATAGATTAATTTATAATACGTTTTTTCTCTTATGTACATACATATAAGTTTATATTTCTTTAAATAACTAAATAAACAACTATTCCGCTTCAATTTCGTCAATAAACGCACGACACTTCTTTTTTAGCACCTTGACGGCCTCCAGAAAGATAACTTCCGGCTTCAGCGCACCCACGGACTCCACCGTAAAGATGTAGTGATCACGCACTCTCGCCAAGGTTACGGCATCTTTCAACTGCGGATAACGATACACATTCCGGCTGCAGCTGTCGTAACGCGCTTCTTTCACGTAGGCGCACTCGTTCTCGTTGATCCCTATCACTCCGGGCGAAAAGCAGCTCTGCAGGAGATAGGCATCCTTGCCGGAAACCTCCCGATTGAGCCTGATTTCCGGCAGCAATCGGTACGTGGCCGTGGCCACCGGCGAGAATTTGGCATGATCACGGCCTATACCCTTGACGGCTACCAATCGCAAATCCAGCTCGTGGCCAGGTCGCAGCTGTGCAATCAGAATGTCTTCGTGGATGCAGCCCACGGCGCTTTCGGTGTAGATCTGTGCCTGCTTGCCCTTGGGAAGCCACTTTAAGTGGCCAGAGTAGACCTTGTGGTTTTTGTAAATATCATCAAAGTTCGTCTGATCTTTTCCGGCGTCTCGTCGGCGGCTGCACTTCACTTTCAGTTCGAATTCCAGCGTGTCCTGTTCGGTACCCGCTTCGGGGCTTTCCTCTGTGCGATAAGCGAACAGACGGGGATCAGCTCGCAGCGGCAGCAGACCCATTCTATGGGCCAGGACCTCGTCCTGGATGATCGAAGTGTTGTTGTAGATGTACACCTTCTCGATGGCCATGCTGGGCACTTCGCTCAGCATAAGACGGCGGAAGGCATTGGCTATGGCGGGGTAAACACCAATCAAGTCGAATTCCAGACCATCCTCGTCGTTCCTAGAAGGTTAAGATGGTTAATCCTCTCCAGAACTTGTTTTCAAAGAATAATAAACGAACTTCACAATGACAATTTGCATTTTGTTTTTGAACAGTTCCATGGTAAACACCTCATCTGCCAGGCCATAGTCGTGCGGGTCCTGTTTGACACGATGCTCCTCCATGTAGAGTAGTGGCTCATCACGCTCCGGGCTTGACATTTTTCTTAGTTTTTTTAATAAATAAATTACCAGAAATCAAAAACCGCGCACGTGCTGGAACCGAATAAATTCTGTGTTTTCGAACTCGAGTTGGCAGGGCCTTCCAAGACTTTCCTGTGATTGGCAGTCGAACACACCAGAAGAAGAAGAGGGGCACCGGCGAGATTTTTTATTCTCCAGAAGATTTACGTAAAGGCCCAAAATTCCGGGATGTCCCGTTCCCTGCAACGCTTACTGGGCAGCTGTCGTCGCTTGGCGCAACAGCCGGCCGTCCGTCACTTTGCTGCACCCGCAGATCCCACAAAAGGCAAGGGTCCGATATCATGGCGAAGTCTGGCCGTGATTGGAGCTATGGGAGCTGGAGGTCTTGGTTTTATGCTCTACGTTAAGAGTGAGAAGGACGAGGCACGCATGAAGGAACGTAAACGACAACTGGGTAAAGCGGCCATTGGCGGCCGGTGGGAACTGGTGGACTCGGAGGGCGCTGTACGCAAGTCGGAGGATTTCCTCGGCAAGTGGCTGCTCATTTATTTTGGCTTCACCCACTGTCCGGACATTTGTCCCGACGAGCTGGAGAAGATGGCCGCCGTGGTGGACGAAATCGGTTTGTATTGGCTCTAGAATTAAAAATACTGGAATGAGACTACCTAATCCTAACCTCGCACAGAAAAATCCCCTCAAACGCCGGCGGTACAACCCATATTCATCACTGTGGACCCAGAGCGTGACTCCAAGGAAATCGTAGGCAAGTACGTGAAAGAGTTCTCCCCCAAACTCCTGGGGCTCACGGGTACTGTTGATCAGATCCGCAACGTCTGCAAGGCCTTCCGCGTTTACTTTAGCGCCGGACCGCGCGATAGCGACAATGACTACATCGTGGACCACACCATCATCATGTACCTGGTCAACCCGGACGGAGAGTTTGTGGATTATTATGGCCAGAATCGTGATAAGGATCAATGCGTAGCCTCGATAATGGTGAACATCGCCAAGTGGAATTCTCTGAACAAAAAGGGCTGGTTTGGCTAAGATGCTGCCGCTTAGCTTAACAAATGTTGATTCGTTGTATTTTACTTTTACGTATAACGTTTAGCTGTAGAAATATAGCAAAAAGAAATAAATTCAAAATTTTTTAAATTTGGTTAAAGCTTACGGACGGGTTGGCAGCGCCACGTTGAAGTTTGGGATTATTGCATTGGACAGGTTGGCAGCTCTTTTTCGGCGTGTAGTGCTGCGTGGAGAATTTTTGTTGCAAAAAGAATTGTTTTCTCGCAACAAATAACAATAAAATAAAAAATGGTGCGTGCATAGTTGTGGAATACATACTCCTCTGTGCTCCCAAGAGATTTGCCAAGTGTTTGGCTAGAATGACGTGGATTTGTGATGTGTCCAAGCCTTGTGGGAGTTGCGGCCAAACATAACCTAAAAGGCGGTTTCTATTTGTGCTAATATTTCGCATTGTTGCGTTTTTTCCACAGCGTCCGTTGATGCTCCAGGGCCACGAGCGTTCCATAACGCAAATCAAATACAACCGGGAGGGTGACCTACTCTTCTCGTGCTCCAAGGATCAGAAGCCCAATGTGTGGTACTCGCTGAACGGCGAGCGCTTGGGCACGTACGATGGTCACCAGGGTGCGGTGTGGTGTCTGGATGTAGACTGGGAGAGCCGAAAGCTGATCACCGGTGCCGGTGACATGACTACCAAGATCTGGGACGTCGAGTATGGCACAATCATTGCCTCTATCCCCACCAAGTCGTCAGTGCGTACAAGCAACTTCAGCTTCTCGGGCAATCAGGCCGCCTACTCCACGGACAAGGCTATGGGACAGAGCTGCGAGCTGTTCATCATCGATGTACGCAACGCCGACTCCACGCTAGCCGACCAGACACCCACGCTGCGCATCCCAATGACAGAGTCCAAGATCACCTCAATGCTGTGGGGTCCACTCGATGAGACAATCATCACTGGTAAGCATGCATAATACTGATTTCCCGATGAAACGCAGAATAACTGCTATTAATTTCAGGGCACGACAACGGTAACATTGCCATCTGGGACATCCGCAAGGGTCAAAAGGTGGTCGACTCTGGCAGCGATCACACCGCCGGCATCAACGACATGCAGCTGAGCAAGGACGGTACCATGTTCGTCACCGCCTCGAAGGATACCACCGCCAAGCTGTTCGACTCCGAGTCCCTGATGTGCCTGAAGGCCTACAAAACTGAGCGTCCCGTAAACTCGGCGGCCATCAGCCCCATCCTGGATCATGTCGTGCTGGGCGGCGGTCAGGATGCCATGGAGGTGACCACCACGTCCACCAAGGCCGGCAAGTTTGACTCGCGCTTCTTCCACCTGATTTACGAGGAGGAGTTTGCTCGCCTTAAGGGCCATTTTGGACCCATCAACAGTTTGGCCTTCCATCCGGACGGCAAGAGTTACGCCTCGGGCGGAGAAGACGGTTTCGTGCGTGTCCAAACCTTTGATAGTACATACTTCGAGAACATCTTCGAGTAGTCCACGACGTCCGGTAGTCTGTTGTAGAGTGATCAGAGCCGGTGGACTGGACAGCAACCGATCCCTTTCACTGGCGCTATGTTCGTTTGCTTAGGGAACTTTCAAATATACGCGAGAACGAAACGAATCTAGTCGCATCGTTTAATTTTAGAACATTTAGAGAGTAACAGGATTATGTATTCGAATGAATGGTAGATCTGCAGTAATCCTAGAAGAAGGAACGCTTCTTCTGCTTGAGGACCACGGGCTGGCCCTGCATGGCCGCCCACTGAGCTGGGGTTGGCAGGCAACCAGGCGGCGGTGGCGGAATGACTACGGATCCGGCGGCATTGGTCCTCACCTCGGCGCGAGAGTCCAAGTGTAGGACTTGCGACGCAGCTGCTCCTGCAGATGTACTGGGCCCAGCCAGGCCGAAACCAGTTCCATGATGCATTCCGTATTGTGGCTGCCCGTTAAATGGCATCTGCTGTTGATGGTGGCTTATCATCCCGTAGTATTGATTATTGCTTAAAGGAACAGCTCCTGGTTGCGGGTATCCAACGGCACCGCCACTCCGCTGGCTCTCCTCGTAAGATGGCGGAGGAGCTCTCTAAAAAAATATGCATTTGTATATTTCAGACCTCCATATTAGCTGCATTTTGCTCACCATGGCCATGGACTGCCCGGAACTGCTATAATCGTACGCGGGGGCACTTTCCCCAGTTGGAGGACCCGATTTTGATGATTTCGACATTTTATTTTGGTTTTCCTTTAATTTCGTTCTTTGTTTACTTGTAAATCCCTCTGAATCACAATTCAGGGTTATCTACTTGCTGGTGGACAGTGTTGACCTTTGGATATTTCCCGTTAAATAGAGTTTTAAATTTTAGATTTTACATGATTTTGTTTGATTTTTATTACTCAAAATACCAAACTTTAGAATTGGGACAAATTCAAAATTTTTACAATACAATTATTTGTTCTTTTCTATAAGTTCGTTTAAATAAACTGGAAATGAAAAAAAATTCGGCTCTTAGCTATTTCCATCTTTAAAAAAGGGGGCAACTCTACTTATTTGCCATTCACAAGCGATCAGCTGTTTCTTCCAAACGGGAAGAAGAAGGGAGAAGTACCAAGTTGTTGGCCTGGCCAAAATCAGGGAAAATATAGTTAAATAGCCTAATCTAGACTGCCAACCGTAATATTTAATAATTATAAACAATATACAAATAGTTGGTACCTCATAAAATGGCGCACGCCACTCCTCAGGTGAGTAGAATCTTAATGTACAAGGGCAACACGGAGCGCGCCGCGTTTCTGTGACGCAATAGCTACGTTAACTTTCGTAAACGAATGGATAACAAACTGTTGTGATCCTCTGGCAGGGCGTTAAGCTGTTGAACGGATGGAAGCGTCCGGGCCGTTTTGACAAGGGCTTGGGAGCCCAGCTGCCCGAGGCCTACAAGAAGTTCTGGCGCGAGTGGAAGCTGACAACCCCGGCCGCCGTGCACTACATCCCCAAGGATCATCAATGGGAGCGCGATCCTGTGACGCATGCTATCAAGCCGGTGCAAAACATCCCGTTGCCCCTAATAGACACGCCGGAATCCCATCAGGGCATCTGGGGTGGCGAGGCTGTGATCAAGGGTTTTCAGAAGCGAGAGCAAACGAAGCGCCGTGTCCCGCACTTCTGGGTGCCCAATCTTCGCCGTTCGGTAGTACACAGCCATGTGTTGGACTCCTACATGTCCGTGGTGGTGACGGAGCGCACGCTGGAACAGATTCACGAGTGCCACGGCTTTGATCACTATCTCCTTAAGAATAGGGCCTGCGATCTCCGGTCCGCCTTGGCCTTGAAACTCAAGCGGGAAGTGCTGAAAGCTTTGCAGAATGGTGTTCCAGCTCTCGATGCTGAACCCGACCGCCAGCAGGAGGTACTTAAGGAGTACTCGCGCTATCTGGAGACGTACACGCCGGAGGAAATTGATTGGTACGGACACACCTACATAGAGGCCATTCGAAAGCTGCAGAAGCAGCTGCGCGACGCCGAAGAAGTGAAGCCCCACAAGGTTGAGTTCCGCAGCAAGCTGATCGAGCAGCTTCGCCAAGCGGGCATAAGCGAGGCAGGAAAGCTGGAGAAGTCTGGAGATGCGCTGGCGGAATCATCGACGGAGCACAAGGACTCGGACATCGAGGCGCTGACTAAGCTGTAAGTAAAGCCGTCTTTAATTCCCATATTGTATTCGCTTTTGCTTAGATTTTTTTATATTAGTTAAGGCGCTTAACTTAATCAATTTTTATATATATTTTACAGGGAGTCCTCGCCCTCTTCCAACTGGTTATCCAAGATTAATCCTTTTGGCAAGAAGGAGACCTAAGCCAGCCAGTCGTCCTTGTTTGTTTTTGATTTATGTGTTTAGCCTCGAAAGAATAAACATAATTTCGGAAACAAATTTCGTTCTCATTACATGGCCTCGCATTTAGTTTTGTTAAAAGATAAAACATATTTATTGCAAATATTCGTTAGATTGATAAAATGTATAAAAAACATATAGAATCACACACAAACAAAACGTACGCGACAAAAAGTAGAAAAAGGAATGGTTGTAAATCCCCAAGAGAATACCAAAATACATACACGGATGTGGACAAATCGAAGAATACAGTGATCACTATTCACGCTTACGACTAAATGTACTAAATAGCTCAGCAAGCGGTTGGAGAGAGCTTTGTGCCATGTTTAAATGTCCCCAGTTTGGGCTTCCAGGCCCTATGCAATGGGGTTTTTCTTCATCAACTCTATATCGGCCTTCATCATGTCACTGACCAGCTCCAGGAAGCTCACTTTTGGCGTCCAGTTGAGCTCTCTTTTGGCCTTGGAGGCGTCGCCCAACAGAAGATCCACCTCTGTGGGCCGGAAATACTTTGGATTGATGCGTACGCGTACCACACCCGTGTCGCTCTCTACGCCCACCTCGTCTACACCCTTGCCTTGCCATGTTATCTCCCGTCCGATGTGCTTGAATGCCGCTTCCACAAATTCACGCACACTGTGAGTCTCGCCCGTGGCTATGACGTAGTCTGACGGCGAGTCCCTCTGCAGCATCATCCACATGGCTTCCACATAATCGCTGGCATGTCCCCAATCACGCTTCGAGTCCAGATTGCCTAGCTCAAAGTACTCCATCTGCTTCAACAGAATCTTGGCCACACTTCTGGTGATTTTCCTTGTCACAAAATTCTCTCCACGTCGCGGACTCTCGTGGTTGAAGAGGATGCCATTGCAGGCGTACATGTTGTAGGCCTCCCGGTAATTAATGACGATCCAGAAGCCGTACATCTTGGCGCAAGCTAAAGAAAATAAGTGATTAATGATAATAACTACTGTGAGTTTAACGTGGCTAACCATATGGCGATCTTGGATAGAATGGTGTCTGTTCGTTCTGTGGGGTTTCCACCACCTTGCCATATAGTTCCGAAGTGGAAGCTTGATAGAACCGTACACTCTTTTCTATGCCACACGTACGTATGGCGTCCAGGATGCGAAGAGTTCCTACTGCATCCACCTCGGCAGTATACTCGCTGAGGTCAAAGGAGACCTTCACGTGGGACTGTGCCGCCAGATTGTAGATCTCTGTGGGCTTCACCATGTTGATTATTTTCACCAGGCTGCTGCTGTCAGTCATGTCGCCGTAGTGGAGCTTCATCCGTCCGCCCTTGTGCGCCTTGGGATCTGCGTACAGATGCTCGATGCGTGTGGTGTTGAACGTGCTGGCCCGCCTGATAATACCATGCACTTCGTAGTCCTTCTTAAGAAGGAACTCGGCCAGATAGGAACCATCCTGTAGAACGGAGTGGTAAAATAAAGCTTTATCGGTTTTACCACGTAAGCACGGTTGATGGATGGATGTCCCGTCCAGAACACCTTTAATAAACACTGTGACTAATGCCTTCACACTCGTTTACACACCTGGCCCGTTATGCCGGTTATCAGCGCCACTTTATCACGGGGCATACCAGCGTCTCCGGCACAGTCTGTAGTCCCATTCTGATCCCTGCTCCCATTGCTGCTGCTGTCGGTGCGCGGCTTCTTGGATTCGGTGGCCCCCTCGGAGGTCGACATGTTAATTGGGCGAGTGTGGGAGCAATACTAATCCTAATTTCCCGGTTTTCACGGTGACGTTGGTGGAGGAGAAGGAGAGTAAACAATTTAGTTTTGTCAGCGTGTTGCCACTCTTGCAAAAAGTGGCCACTCCGTGTGAGAAACAGTGGAGCGAGCAGAAAGAAAGTGGTGACCAAATGGAAATAACTTACGATTTGGTGGAATAATATATTAAATATAAATATATGTTTCATTTGTCTAAGAATATAAGTGTATATTATAAAACTTTAAATGTATAGAGGTTTTCGATTGATTAAGAAAATATGTAGAATATATAAAATTGTTCTACTCCCCATACATTTCAGTTTATAAAACTCTTTGTACCACTGTGTAACAGTGTTGCAAAGCGTGAAAAACCACGTAGCGATTTTAACCTTATAGGCGAAATCGGCCGAAAGAAAGAAGATAAAACCACCTCAAGTCTTATCGCCCGATTTCCACTCCCTCACCCGATTTGCTACTGGGTTGCAGCAGTGTCTTCTTCGGCTTCAGCATTACGTGTACGAGTACAGAGAGGCTTTCCATTTCATTATACGGTCGGCTGTCCAGCAGCAATCAACAGTGATAACACCGGCGGGGCAAAGACCGGATACTACACATTGGGAACCTGAGGGCACTATTTAATTAAGTACAACCGCCGTGATAAATAATAGCCAATTGTCCCCAGCACAAAATGACGGATCTTATCAGGAAGGGAGCTCTGTTCCTAATGAGCGAGAAGTGCTATGATAACTACTTCCTGGAGCACAACTTCTTAGACAGTGAGTAGTGGCAATCCAAATTGGCCAATTAATAATCCATTTTATTTCATTTGCAGTTCCCTGCTTTAAGGCTCTGCTGAGCAAGGGCTTGGGCCTGGCCATTATTGCCGGTTCAGTGCTGGTAAAGGTGCCCCAGGTGCTAAAGATCCTCAATAGCAAGTCCGGCGAGGGCATTAACATAGTTGGCGTGGTGTTGGACCTGCTGGCCATTTCCTTCCACCTTTCGTACAACTTTATGCATGGCTATCCGTTCAGTGCCTGGGGCGACAGCACCTTTCTGGCCATCCAAACCGTGGCGATTGCCGTCCTTGTCCTCTACTTTAATGGTCGCAAGCTGCAGTCTGGCTTGTTCCTCGTAGGCTATATAATACTGATGTACGTCCTCAACTCTGGACTAACGCCGATGTCGGCACTGTTCACCATCCAGAGCTGCAACATTCCCATCCTGCTGGTGGGCAAGCTGTCGCAGGCGTTCACCAACTTCAAGGCTGGATCCACGGGCCAGTTATCTGCCGCCACAGTGATCATGATGTTTGCCGGGTCGGTGGCCCGCATCTTTACCTCCATCCAGGAAACTGGCGACACAATGATCATCGTCACATTCGTCGCCTCCACTTTCGCCAACGCTGTCATCTTGGGCCAACTGATCTATTACTGGGATAAGCCCCCAACTGGCGCTGTCAAGGGTGGCAAGGACGGAAAGGCAAAGAAGCCCAAGAGCAAGAAGGATGATTAGGCTGGAGAGCTAGCAGACGAAACAGAAAGAGACTTGAACTCGAAACGAAAAAAACTTAGGTTGCAAATATTTCTCGACATTGTAGAACAAAAATATGCAAGTTTAAATAAATAGAGTCCTAGTTTATTTGCTTGTCCTGCTTCTCGAAATGCTGCTGCAGCAGGGCCAGGGCGCGGTACCGATGCGATATGGTATTCTTCTCGGCCTTGGGCAGTTCAGCGTAGGTCTTGTCGTAGCCCTTTGGTTGGAACACGGGATCCCTGTAGTTACAGTCATAAAGTGAATAAATATACGACTTTTTATCAGGTTAATTACGCAAGTGACTCACCAACCAAAGTCCCGGGGACCGCGCGGCTCAACGATGACACCGTCGGTGATGCCCTTGAAAATCAAAGGCTCAGCGCCAATGCCCTCGCAATAGCCAAAGGTGCAGATAGCCTGGGCGGACTTGTCCTCCCAGCCGTGGAGCAGGCGATGTAAGCCCTCAGGCTGTAGTTTTTCTAGGAACCACTTAATATACGGACCCGGCAACCCTTCTAGAGAGTTGAAACACAAGCTGGTGTCCTCCACAAGCACGGGACCGTTTACCTGGCGCGCTGCCTCCTTGCATTTCTTGATGGCAATCTCATCAATGTCCCCTTAAAGATAATTATTAAGCTATAAACTTTATTAAAAGGATTCTGCAGTAATATTTACCTTGCAGCTCGGGCAGGTCGATCTTCTGGGACACAATTGGCCGTGGAAAACTAGGACCCAAGATAGCCAGCAGCTCCTCCAGTTTCTTGGCGTTGCCAGTCACAAAGGTAATTGGTTTTGACATTTTTCACCTGATTTCTTTATCAAATTTACACAATTCAATTCAAAACAATTAAAGTAAATAGAGAGAGCAAGCCACTCATGTGGAGCATGCGGGTGCAATCAGCTGTTTCTGTTTTGGCGCCAAAGCTTAATCAGGGTTGTTCTACACTCAAAAGTTAATTTGAATTTTGTTAACAGTCCCATAACAGCCCATAAATTGACACTATTATTATTATTATTTTTTAAAATTAAAATGTCATTAATTACAGTTTAAATTGGTAAGCAGTACCAGCATATCAGCAACATACAAATATAAATATTTTTATTATTTTTATTCAATATGTATTCACTTAAATTTAAAGACAGCGTGTTAATTTTTATGATTTTTTGTATCTTTTTTTGTTTTGTTGTATGGGGCGGGATGTTGCTTGGATTGACAAATACGAAAGACGAACTTGCAATAAATATGTACGCAAACTTGTGTTTCTCAAGTGAGACCATTTAGGCCTGGATGTGGTGTCTCCTAGTCATCCAGTGTGAGATGCAGATTAGCTGACGGATGCAGGCCGAGTTCTTTGAGCGTTGAGCCGTTGTGCTCTGCCTCTAGGGATTTGCGAGGGAAGGCGCAGATGAGCTTGTAGCCTTCGTGGGGGATGTGCTTGTGCGTTTGGCGGATGTACAGGCGCAGCGTTGACAGTTTCGTGTCCGAGGGCCAGCGCAGCTGGACCATTTCTTCGGTTCCGGAGACATTGAGCAGGCGCAGCTTGAGGGCAGTCAGCTCATCCTTGGCTTCGCCCAACTGGTTTTCATACGAGGAGGCCACAACGCCCTTAAGCTCCTCGTCGTCGAACTCCTCAAGGCTCTCGTTGTCGCTGCCTCCTTCGGTATTGTTATCATCGGTCTTGGAGCCGCCACCGTTCTCATTCATGGAATTCTTGATAGCCAGCTCCAGTTGCTCCTCCTCGGTGAGCTCCAGCACCTTGGCTCGCTTCTTGGGCGTTCCCCTCGAGCTGGCTGTTGAGGAGCACGAGGCCTCCGGATCACCTTCGTCATCATCATCGTCGACGTTTACGGCTGAACGCTTCGAGGTGCTGGGCGCATCCTCGGCGATAAAATCACGATGTTCCTTCAGGAACTGTCTCAAATCGGGCAGGACATTCTCCTGCTTTGGTTCTGGACTGCGCCAGACTTCCTCACCCGTTCGGGGATCGATCACGCACAGATACGGCAGAGTGGCGCAATGGTAGAAGGCCACGAAACGCCGGCCTTCTGACGTGTCGTTGTCAACTTGCCAGAAGGTAAACTGTCGTCGCACCAGCTTCTTAAGCTCCTTGTCCGACCACACGTCGCGATTCATGGTCTGCGACTGGAAGTTATCGCCCTGCACGTTCACTAGCAGCCAGCGCTGCCGCTTCGTGGCAAACTCCCTGGCCGCCGTCAGCGTTCCGGAGTAGAGAATATCTGTGGGCGGGCGAAACAGGTCTCCGAGGCGGGATGTGCTAGTGGCTGTGGCCGCCGTCGAGCGACTGCTGAGCGCTATGGCCTGGCCAGCCACCACCATCTGAGCAGAGCGTTCCCGCCGACGTCGATGAGCGCTTGGATCCGCATAAACGCCGGTGGCCTGCAATTGCTCTTCCATTAGGGCTCCCTCCCTGGCGAAATCGCGCAGGGGACACACTTTAACACGCTGCGTGACCCGAGACAGGCGGCTGCTGCTTCCGGACGCGAAGAAGTTGTCGTCCTCTGGCAGAATCAGTTGCTCACGAACCGGAGCGATGGGAGCACGCACTTCATCGTCGTCGTCTAGCAGCGGAAGCGATGCTGCTGTGGTGGCCGCTGCCGAAGATGTAGAGGCCGCTGCTGCAGCGCCTCCCTGTTCGAAGAAGAGCGCCACAGCAGCGGCGACATCGTTGGCACAGGCCCCCAAATAATGCTTGGCCTCCTCTGCGGTGCAAGCGGTAACTTCGACCACCTGCTCAATTAGCGCGTCCGGCGCCTCGCTACTGGACATGGCTCTGCGGTCGCGGAGCACGAGTTCGCTTCCTTGGGCGCACAAAAACGTTAAATAAATTGGGGAAACGAAAAACGAGTACGAAATCAAAACGAGCTATTTTCCAGGGACAGATAAAATGCGTCCGCACAGCTGTGAGAAAATCAGTGTTCGTAAGCTGGCGCAAGGACAGTGCTGGAAAATGCTGTTTGTCAGTGCCGGCATGTTTGTTAATATGTATGATGTATAAATACCAAATATCCCTCTTATCATATTCATAAAATTTTTTAATAAATTCTATTATATAAAATAATAGTTTGATATATTTTTTATATTAAATACGTCAAAATAACATGATGTTTCTAATTTACTAACATTCTTTTTAAATTATTACCATTAAATTTGTATTTTTGGTATATGTTTTTGTAATCACCATAAATGCGCCAGAAAAGTTTAACATTCCACTGGCACCGACGCACAACACTGCACACAATACCAGTCACTGCGCAACACTGGCCAGCAGCACCAGCAGAATTCGTCTTTATATACGCGAAAAATTAAGATAAAATTCGCAATTGCCGCGGAGTTGTCCCCCAAAAAACATGACTAATACCCCAGCGGACTGGTGAATCGAAAAATCTGCCTTCCTGCTGTGACCAAGAATATGTGAACCGCCGCGTACCGGGACCAACAAAGCCAGTTTTCCCAATCAGAACCGAGTGCGCCAGGTGCATCAGAGGCGAGAAGAGAGAGAAAAAATTAAATAAAAGTGATTCCCAGTGATTTGAAATCGGATCTACGGATCCCCAGTGCCATTTGCTGCCTCCCGCCCGAGTGCCTACTCAAGCTGTCCGCGTTATGCTGCGCGGATCAAGTTGAACTCTCCGTTGTTCCAACTCCGCGGCCCCCGTTTGTTGTTTATTTGTTTGTTGTTAATGCTGCTGACGTCGCAAGATGGTCTCGCTGATAAAGAACCAATTGCTCAAACATTTGTCCATGTAAGTGTGATGGGGTTAGTTGGGATTTAATCTGTGTCAGTGGGAAATGTAATTACGAAACTCAATTAGGTGCACTTGGGTGGGCTAGTGGCCCCATGACCAGCTTGCGAGTGTTGGTGGAGCCCTTGGAGCGCGAATTGATTTTTCCCAGCTTTCAGTATTATTGCTTGCCTCTCTCGGGCCGTGTCTGTGTGTGCGTGTGTTTTTCACAGCTTCCCTGTCGCCCCCTTCTTGTCTTTTCACCCCCCTCCGTCACCTGTCCTGACCCCCGCTTTTATGCCTTCTTTATCGCTTATCGCTTCCGCTGCCCCGTTGCTAATTTGCTAGCCTCCGCTGGCCCCGGCCGGGGATTTCCCCTCCCTCGCCGAGTAACAAGTGGATTGCCAATTTTCTGCTCTCCACGCACTTTCAATTTTCTCATCATCCGTAAATGTTTATTATTTTTCTTTTAACGTTGGCTCCGTCTCCTTAGAATTGAATACACATCCATGCCCTCATGCCTTCCCTCACCTCTGCCGCCAGCGGCATTTGCATGTGAAATTCAATTTTCCTTCTCTTCCTTGGCTCAATATGGTTTATTTGATGGCTGGGTTACTCGATAGCCTTGTCCGGAACAGGGGGGCTTTGACGACTCCGCCACCGCGGTAGTAAACACATATTTATAAAGAAGGTAAAAAAAATCAAATGCTTATTTTCGTATTCTTATAATTATAAACAATGCAGGCCCCGAGGGAGGTTCTTCGATTGCTTTACCAATATATTACACAGGAATAAGTTTTGGGAAATAATGAAAACTAGCTTTAAATATAGATTTCGATCTGAAAAAATTGTAATTATATTATTTTCACTTTATGCTGGCTTAAAATGCCATTTTATTATCATATACAATTTTTTTAAATTAATTTCTTATGTAAAACAAATGCCTTACTCTTAATTTTATAACCTTAAAGGCTGAAGGAGTCGTTTCCGACCCCATAAATCATATCATATTCAAATCATATTCCTGATCAGCATCAACTGCTGAATCGGTCGAAATTTTTTTTTTAAATTTTTGCAAAAAAAGAAAAAATCGTTAAAATTGTCTAAAATCGACAAAAATTTTAATTTTTTAACATTTTAAATTGAGTATGCAATTTTGTTGTCCTAGTAAAAACAAGCATAGGAAAGGTTTCCGATTTGAAATTACTTCATTTTTGGCTGAGTTCTGAGTTTTTTGAAATTTGATTTATAGACCAAATTGTCACTTAAAATATAGATAAATATTGACTCAAAGAATGGTGTTTTAAGTTAAGTCAGAAGCTTGCAAAACATTAATGGAATCTTTCCGATATATTCTTGATCAGCAGAGGTATCAGATCAGAACAGTTATAGCTTTTGCCATAAAATAAAAACAACTTTTAGTTAGATTCAAGTTTGTTTCCAAGTGCACTTTGGTGAAAACATTAATTAGCTTTCAAGTGGGAATAATGTCGCAAAGCTACCGTTTCCATACCCCATAACGTGTCCGATTCCGAGTAATTCTTTTTATATATATCTGTCCCCATACACGAACTTTAATATGTCAAGTCCTGGCCTGCCACCTGCTTAAACAAAGGCCATATTTACCCGTATACACAGCGGCATTGTCTTGGCCCCTTTGTGGATATCTTTTGTGCGTTATTGCCACCGCGTACTCTGTCCTTGCCCTCCACTGCCACCTGCCAGTGCCCTTCCACGCAATTAGGCTGCAAACAAGCCAAGTTTATAACATAACATGGCCGAGGAGAGAGAGCGAGAGTGAAAATGCAAAGCAAACTTGTTGCCCAAGTTGTGGGATGGCGAAAAGTTAAAGAAAATCTCTTTACTGCACCCGCCCGGCGGGGCTGTTATCATTTTTCTCTTGGCCAAAGAAGTTGGAAAGTTACCCGACCTGATCGGCATTTCTTATTGCCAGGGGATTTCAGAGATGGCCAAGAAAAAGTTCTTAAGTAGCAAGTTGAGCTGGAATTCTACTACCACCGTAAACCTTCTCTTCCCCGACTCTATAACCGAATCAATTCGATTTCAATTATACTCAGAGCCATTAGAGGGAAATGGGTCAATTGGTGGCAACCATCTGGCGCCGACAGTTCACGAGTTCGCC